GGGGCCCTAGCGGTGTGGTTTGGGAGCCGACTTAGCTTGCGCATTGAAAGGGGTATGGTCAGCCATCTAGCAATTTGGATAAGTCAACAGTTGGAGTTCTTAGAGTCTCGACCCAGCTGGAGCCTTTTTTTAAGTCAGTTAATCATAACTGCTTGGCAAATTTGGAAAACTAGGAATGATTTTATCTTTAATCATATCCCAGTTAATCCAGTGGAAACTTTAGATCGTGCTGTCAATGCATAGACAGAGCATGTCCAGTTTCTGCGGAGAGTCTCGTCTGAGCAAAACAGTTCTTCTATCCCACAGACCAGGCGTAACAGATGGCAACCTCCTCCTCCTGGCTTTTTGAAAGCCAACTGTGATGCGGCCTTCTGCAAGCAGTCCAACAGAGCCTCCTTAGCCGTAGTCTTTCGTGACTCCACAGGGCAAATTATTAATGGCCACACTATTAACATCCATATTGATTCAGCCTTCCTAGCTGAGGCCCAAGCAATTCGGTTGGCTTGCATCATGGCCAAACTACAAAACTAGAGGAATGTGATTGTTGAGAATGACAATTTGCTAGCTATCAAACTCTGTGTTTCTAAAAATGTGCCTCCTTGGGATAGCTTGGCAGTCTTCTCTGACATTAGATGTATCTCCCAAGTTTGGCCCATGTTTTTTTGCTGGACAAGGCGAACCTCTAATCATGTTGTACACTGGGTTGCCCACGCATTTGTATTGTCAAAGCTGCCTGTTAACTGGGTAGCTATTCCCCCCAAGGAATTGAGTTGTTTGGCTCACCTGGATGTTTTTCCTCCTACTTAATATATTTCCCTTTCTGTTCAAAAAAAATGTAACACTCCAATAACGTAACACTTCAATGTAACACACTAAAAATTCATTAATGTACTTTTTCCAAACGTAACAACGTAACACTCAAAAAAAAATTTTGGTATACTTTTTCCAAACTTAACGCTCCAATGTATAAAATAAAAAATAATAATAAAATCCTTAGTGTACTTTTTCCAAGCATAACACTTCAATCAGTGTAATCACAAACGTAACACTTTAATCAATGTAATCTCAAGCGTAATACTCTAATGTAATGCACAAAAATACTAAAAAAGTTTCTTAGTGTATTTTTTTCAAACGTAACACTCACAGTTTAAAATTATACATTTGTTCAATTTGTACTCCTTTTGGAATGGTTTGAAGAATATCACATTTTTTTATTTTTTTTATTTTTTTAGTGTTACATTGGAGTGTTACGTTTAGAAAAAATAAACTAAATTTTTTTTTTTTTTTTGGATTACATTGGAGCGTTACGTTTAGGATAAGTACACCAAAAAGTTTTTTTTGTGTGCTACATTGGGGGTGTTTGTTTAAGCTTTTCAGAGCCAACTTATGGCTTTTAGCTTTGAAAAAGTTATTTTGGATTGTTTGGTTAAACTTATTTCAAACAGCTTCTGATTCTAACAGCTTATTTTAACTCAAAAAAATTGATTCTGAAAAGCTGCTCATCCCTTACTTCTGATTATCAGTTTCTGCTGTGGACATGTTAATTTATGGTTATACTCTTAAATTTTTTTATTTTTTATTTTTTTAAAAATAGAAAAAGACTCAAATGGACTATAGATTATTATTATTATTTTTTATGAGAAATGTAGACAAACAAAAAATAAAAATTAATTGAAAAAGCTATTTCACAGCTTATTTAACAAACACTACTCAGCAACTTAAATCTATAATCCAACAGCTACACCAAACAGATTAACAACTTCTGATTAAAGTCATAATTTATAATCTGTTAAGTTATAATCTATAAGCTGTTTTAACAGCTACACCAAACGGGGCCATTAAAGTGTTACACTAAGAATTTTTTTTTGAGTGTTATATTGAAATGTTACGTTTAAAAAAAGTACACTAAGAAATTTTTGTGTGTTACATTAGAATGTTACACTAAAGAGTTTTTGTATGTTACATTAAGAAATTTTTTAAGAGTATTATATTAGAGTGTTACATTTGGAAAAAGTATATCAAATTTTTTTTTATATGTTTCATTAGAGTGTTACACTAAGGAGATTTTGTGTGTGTTACATTATAGTGTTACATTAAAGAGTTTTTTTATGTGTTATATTAGAGTATTACGTTTGGAAAAAAGCACATTAAGGAGTTTTTTTGTGTATTACATTAGAGTGTTACAATAAGAAATTTTTTATGTGTTACTTTAGAGTATTACACTAAAGGAGTTTTTTTTTAGTGTTATATTAGAATGTTACGCTTGGAAAAAATACAGTAAGAAATTTTTTTTATGTGTTATATTAGTGTTACGTTTGGATGTTAATTAATGTCGATATTACAATAAGCACGAACACCACAAAAATGAACAAACACCACACCAATAACACTACAAACAAGGTAACATCATCGAGCTACAAATCACTCTACTTAATCCCTACAAAAAAAATAAAAAAGAGTAATGATTCATCCCCCTTTTTCCCCCACCCCCTTTGACCCCCTCTCTCTCTCATTGGTCACCTTTTCTTTTTCTTTTTCTTTTTTTTCCTGCTCCACCAATCACCCCCTGCCACGTGGCAAAGGGGGTGAGGGGGTGACCCCCAAAAGGGGGTCCCAAGCATTATTCAAAAAAAAATTAAAACGTAAAAATTTACCTTACCCACGCACACCCAACATTAGGAAAAACAAAATCCAAACAAAATCACATACAATGGCAAACAAGTAAACTTTCGAACCCCCAAATCAAGAAATACAACATATCCAAAATAAAAATGACTAATTGATTTGAAAGAAAACTTCTAAAGACTAAATGGAATAACTTTTCTCCAAATGAGATTTATGAGTAATTTTTTCAAAATTAAATGTCAAATCAATTTTTTTATTAACAAAAAAAATAATTTTTTGTCAACTTCCTAAACACACACACTCTGTTTTTTTCAGTTATCAAATATTTACAAACAAATAAATAAATCGGAAATGCCTGGTAGCTCGAAGCTACCAGGCTCGAAATGGCTCGAGCGGGAGCGGGAGAGGGAGAGGGAGAGAAAGAGAGGGAGAGGAGAAAGAGAAGGGAGGGAGAGGAAGGTCGGCGTCGTCGCAGCCCCGCCCCACCGTCGTCGCAGCTCCGGCCGCCGCTGCTGCTTCCTCCTCCGTCGCAGCCCCGCCTCCGTCGCAGCCCAGCCTCCCCTCCTCCTCAAACCGGTTTTTATGGCCCCCTCCCCTCCCTCCTCCTCCTCCTCCTCCACTTTCAAACCCCCAAATCAAGAAATACAACATGTCCAAAATAAAAATGACTAATTGATTTAAAAGAAAACTTCTAAAGACTGAATGGAATAACTTTTCTCCAAATGAGATTTATGAGTAATTTTTTCAAAATTAAATGTCAAATCAAATTTTTTATTAACAAAAAAATAAATTTTTGTCAACTTCCCAAACACACACACTCTGTTTTTTTCAGTTATCAAATATTTACAAACAAATAAATAAATTGAGTTTTTTGGTTCTATATATCGATGTATTTTAGTAAACTTTTTTAATATATTTTTTATTTTTTAAATACGCCTAATCTAACTATACTTAAAAAGTAAAAATATTTGCACTAAATGCAATATATATATATATATATATATATATTAAGTCAATACATATTTATATGTTTTTGTATTATTAAATTTTTTTAGATTTCTCTATATAAAAAAAAATTATTTAGATGTATCTAGATTAAGTTTATCTAAAAAAACAAAATATATATATATATATATATACATTTGACTAAATTAGTACGAAAAAAAAAGTAAACATAAAACACGACAAAACATAGAACTTAAAAACTGAATTTGACTTCTTAAATTTAGTGGATTAGAGACGTGCAATATGGGCCGTGGCCTCTCTTTCGATCATTTATGAAGAAAAAAAATTAAATTAATTTGATAGTCAAAATATCATGATTACAATCATTGAATCAATAATTAATTTTCACACAAAATTTTACAAAATAAATAAATTAAATCATCGCAATTGGACCCAGAATGGGTTCAAAGGCCTGGACTATAGAGAAACCAATTCCCATACATTACATTTGAAACTATTCTATTTACACAATAATGATCTATTTACATTATAAATTTCTAATTAAACTTTCTTCTTGTACAATAGTACAATGCATAGAAATTAATTAAACCAGGGCATTTTGGCAACATTGGTAAAAAGCCAGCTTTTTTACTTTTTAGACAAAAAAAGCCAGCTTTTTCGCCAAAAAAGCCATCTTTTTTACCCAAAAGAATCTATCTTTTTGTCAAAAAAGCCATCAAAAAATCAACTTTTTATCAATTTCTCAAAACACCACCAAGTTTCATATTGCCAAACACTATTCCTTTAAATTTCATTTCACATAATTTTCTATGGTATCATTTATTTTGATCAGAGCATTTAGCCTAATAGTTGGGAATCATTTATTTTGATCGAAGCATTTAGCCTAATAATTGTGTAAAACCCTTTGTGGTGTAAAGTCTTAAGTTCAATTTTTATAAGGAAGAGTTCGATACATTTTGTAACGGTGTTTATTTCTTCCTATTATGAGAGTTGTATTTAGTTAGTAATGATTGTTGAGGTGGACTTGGTGGACTTAACCTATTAGTTGTTGTACGCTTTGTTAGCTTTCTAACTATTGTAGGCTAATTGTATATTTGATGATATAAATATTTGTCATATTTTTAATTACTCTCCTATCGATTGAAAATAAAAAAAAAAAAGAAGAAAAAAGTATCACCCATTTTTTGCAGTATGGTATGCAGTCCCTTTAGAATTCGACATATTACTTGGTAACGTTGGAACAATACTCCACACCACTTCCGTTGTAACACTCGTTCTATTATCTTTTAAAAATCAACGTAAAAATGATAGGTCTCACTTTTTAACTAATAAAAAACAAGTCTTCCCTCAGGAGCACCAAATAATTTTCTCCAATAATTCCATGATCTATCCATATTGCAGATGTGATCTCTCATAAGGACAACAAAGTAGGTCTTAGTATTGATGTCCTTAGTAATGCAACTCTCAAAAATGGCATTAGGGGCAATATAGCATCTACAAACAGAGTAATGATAGATGTCCATCTCTCCATATGCTCAATTATCTAACCTTCTGATTCACCTAGAAGATATAATAACATCTCTATACATGCCAGTAACATTATATAGCTAGCATGCCTTACACGTTTCTATATCCAATCTATATTTACAACAAAACCTGCATATCATGTCGTGTGTAGAATGGACTATACAAAACACCTATGGAGGTAATCCCAAGGAATGTAGTTCCCAAGGATAGAGGAAATGGTACGGAGATACATACTTATACTTACTCTTTGTTTTTGGAGGAGCGGTCCTTACTCTGTCCACCAAGAATACGTGAGATCTGTAGACCTCTGCTAAACGCTTGATTGAACAACATCCGAGTTTGGAATTCTGACACGAACGGGAACCAAGCCAAGAATGCAACAGGAGTAAAAAGAAGCAAACCCATGATTATTTCATAACCACGAGCAAGTGTCCGAACAGATGACCAGATTCCAGTATGTTTAACCACGGGCTTCAAAGCTTGTGCAATCTTCCAAGAAAGAAAAAATAAGTTAAAAACATAAATTATATATATAATTACAAGAATGTCCACAGAAATTTGTGCAATACTGAAATCAAAGGAGCAATATTATAAAACAGGGGCATTAACTCACCAGAAGCAAACCCCATCCAGTTGGCAAGAAAGCAAGAATGCATACTATGACATCCCTAAATGTCATATGGGGAAGTACTATCAAAAGAATAACAGAAGCGACAAATGTCATGAAGATTAGGCCTTTGATCAATCTAAACACAAGCTGGAAGTCTGCACTAAATTTTCTCCTTCCAACAGACACAGCCTGCAAAATTTGACGGGGAATGAAGAAAAGCATGCATTTATGTATTATAATTAATTAAAATTATGAAGGCTCATGCAAACCAAATCAGAGAATTGCAATATAATAAAAGTTATAATACATGTGCGATGATGATATTTGGACAAGACATAAATAACGTAAGCTTATGAATTCTGAAATAACAACAAAAACCCAGTGGTTAAGACTGTTTTACATAGCAAAGCAAATTAAGTAAATACATGATGAAGAAAAAAAATCTCAAAACAGCAATCTAGAAACTCAGTAAGTCCTAATACAAACATGCAGCACATAATGTGTCTAACCAAACTCGTCGTGAAAACCACTCTTATTCTACATTACACTGACTTGGGAGCAAGTATCGGGTGCGGGTGCATATTTAAAGGCCAGACACCTCAAAACTAAAAATGAAGGATACGTGGATACGAATCCAAATTTGAATACGGATATGGGGTACCGTCAAATAATTATTTCTTAAATATATATTTTATATAAACATATGTTTTAATTTTTTATTGTTTTATATTTTTATATATATTATTTCTTAAAAGTTGATTCAATAATCTTTTTATATATAATTTATGGACCAAATATATAAATTAACCACATAACAGCCCATGACATTATAAGATTTGTTGCCCAAAATTTTAGTAGGCCCAAATTTTTAGTTTATCTATTTGGTTCAGCCCAATTTTTTTTTAAAAAAAAAATTATAAAAATAATAAAATAGAGTGAAAGAACATAAAGAATAAGGCAGATCAAAAGGCAGATTGATGTCAGTGGGATGGGAGAGAAAGAGAGCAAGAGCGAGAGAGAGAGAGAGAGAGGGGGAGGGGGGGCTTACGGTTGTGCTCGTCGAAGACGAAGACGACGTCGAAGTCGAAGTCGAAGTCGACAAAGACAGACAAAATCGAAGGACGCAACGAGAGGGATCGAAGTCGGTGACAGAGGGATCGATGTCTTCACCCTTTCGAAACCAAGTCCTTTCCTTGCTCTCTCCTCTTTTGTCTCTTCTACTGTATCCATTTATAAAGAGCCGTATCCCGCACCCGTACCCATGTCAACACGGGTACCTCACAAAAAACAAAGAGTCCATGTAATGTAGCTCTTATTGTTTCAACAAATCCTCTGCTGATAGTATGGGTAGGTATCGACTAGGCCAGGAAGTTGCACTTCATATAGTAACAACACGTGGCATCTCAAGCCAATCTTAGCCCGACATTAGGCTTAATATAGTCATCCAAGCCTGACCCCAAAAAGCTTCTAAAACCCAAATAGAATTCATTTGTAAATAATATTGGGTCTTTCAAAAAATATCTGAATTTAAGCCATAAAAGAAGCACATATATATTTTTCTTGCTTTTTTTAGTTCCTAGTTTATCATATAAATAAATATTATAAAAATTAAAACTAATATTTCATAAATGGGCAGATTGGATGGGGCCAGTCTAGAATTCCTCATCACAAGCCCAACCCGAAAAATACATGGGCTCAAAAGCTTAGTATAGCCTGACCCTATGGGCCAAAGTACTTATTCCAACCTGAAAAATATCAGATTTTGTAGTGGAAGTTCAAGTCAAAAATCAAAGTGAAAGTTGAGAATCTCTTCGCCTCACTCTCGACTTAGTCACATGCAACCACGCTTTCAACCTGACCAATTCTCCCATCTGTGCCATCTTACCAAAAAAGAGTACGGTCTTTCTGATAAGAGAAGAAGCATAACTACCTTGTAGACCTTCTAGAAAGTAGCTTATGGATGGAACATACCCAATCAATATGAGCCTGTCCAAAACTTGCCATTCCCCTGGAAGAAACTTCCCCTGCCTATTCCAATTTGATGATATACAGGTAGAATTGCTAGGAGAGAGGACAATGTACAGTTAGAATGGCAAGGAGAGAGGAGAAAGTACAAGGAAAAGGAAGGAGAGAAAATGAGAGAATGAATGAAAGTCACATTTATTTTTCTCTCCCTTATCACTTGTATTTTATACTTCAATAGTCCAAATAACAAAAAATACCATTACACAACAGGACATATTACACTCACTCAAGTTGATGAATAGATCTCTCACGCCCAACTTGAAAATAATGAGATTAAGCCTTTATTGAATATGTCAGCCAACTGATCTTCTGATCTCACAAAGGGCATACAAACTAAACCCTTAAGCAACTATTTCTTGATTTCAACCTCAATGTGCTCGACTTGTCATGCTTAATTGAATTGCAGGTAATATTGAAGGTGGCCTTATTGTCACAATACAATTTCATACATCTATCATCACATATACCAAATCGCCCAGTAAACTTGAAGCCATATAAGCTCACAAACTAAATGAGTCATGGCCTTGTACTGTCTTCGCACTATATCCAACCACCACTGAATGTTTCTTGCTTTGCCTCATAACTAGATTCCATCTTAAAAATGGGGAGTAGCTTGAAGTAGATTGTATGTCATCAACTAAACCAACCTAGTCAGTATCAGTAAAAATCTCCAACCTCACGAGACTAAGTTTGGACAACAAGATTCCTTTCAAGTTTCCCTATAGCTGACTTGAGGTTTTCAAAATATGATAAATAGCGTCAAGGTAAATTGTGTGAGGAACATCATGGATAAATTGGTTGACAACTTGCACTACATGTGCAATAATCTGGTTATGAGAGATGTATCAGTTCATTACAAGTCTTTGGTACATTTCCTTTTCCACGGAATCACGCCACTAGTACTAAGTTGATGATTAGCCTCAATAGGCAAATCTACTGGTCTATAACCCAACATACATGTCTCCTAAACGAATCTAAAACGCACTTCCTCTAGATACAGATGCTCGTCAGATTTGACCACCTCAATCCCAAGAAAATATCTCAATAAACCGAAGTTATTTTGAACTAATTGGCTAAAAGTGCTTTGAGTTGGGACACTTCCTCCACATATAAAATCTATGTCATCCACATATACAATAACAGTGATCTTATCACTAACTCATCTAAAGAAGATAGCACGATCTGCATGACTTTGCCTGTATCTAATCCTCAACACAGCACCCATTTACTACCCACTGGTCTTTTCCCAGCTGAAAGATAAACTAACTCGCAAATGTCATTCTTTCCCAGAGCACTCATCTCTTCTACCATAACTTCTTTCCATTTAGAGTAAGTGAGAGCTTCCTTCCAACCTTACAGAATAAGCACCAAAAAAAAAAGCCAAGGACGAAATTAAGGTACAACAATATGACAGAGATAAGGAACTATATGTAATAAAGTTAAATATAGGATGTCATTTGCAAGTTCTAACACCCTTTCCAAGAGCACTAGGAAGATTAGAATCATCAACATCAAGATTGCCGCTTATAGGGGTAACAACAAGATAATCATTACCTAAAGACTCAGAGGAAGGATCAGAAATCCTAACAGTAATTTTTTAAATTCTACTAAAATCCTAATAATAAATCTACCAATTACACTCGTGCCACCAAAAAGTCTTTGGTCCATGCAATGGACCCACGGGTGTCATCCTAGACTTCCAAAGCCGATAAATGGGCTTCCATCCAATCAAGGGTCACGCCATAGCTAGGTGATGCTTCAATACCTCCAGTTGGCATAGTAGCAAATTCAAGAAACAAACAACTTGGAATAAGGCAAGATCTAAGATTTTCAGAAAAAAATTATTATACCAAATTAAGCTTTGCTACCAAGTTAAATTGCTAACAGAAAGAAATGTAGGAGTGAGAGGAAAGAATGAGAGAGTCACACATAGGTTTCTCTCCGCTATCACTTGTATTTATGCTAAAATAGTGCAGAGTACAAAAATACCTTCACACAGCCTGACATATTACATGACATATACAAGTATGCACACAAGTATAGTTATAAGGAGATTAAAGGCACTGTTATTTTATGTTTATTTTTGAAAGCACCGACAAGAGGCATAAGAAATAACAAGATGCCTCTTTCTTTCACAACGTAAACCTAGTAGATAGCCTCAAATGTGATATTAAGAGAAGAAATATTAAAGATTTTCTCAAACAAGAAAAACTCAATTCTAAAATAAAACTAAATGAATGAAGAATTTCAAAACTCACCTTCATCACAAACAATATTACCAAGATCACAACCCATGATAGACCATAAACCTGTAGACCCATTGAAAATTAAGTCAATTTAATTGCCAATTACGTCTACAAGAATGAATTTTTTCAAATACACATTAAAGTAAAATGAGGAGAAGAAAATACCAGAACATTTTGGGTTTTCCTTGTAAGGCTCAGGTGATATACAAGTCCATACTGATAGATGAAAAAGCGCATAGACAACAAAATCTCACAAATGATACCACGCATCCCAGAATTACGAAGATGCTCTTGTTCTGTTTCCCACCATGATTCCCAACTCTTTTCAGGATGCACACCAATTCCTCCACGGTTGTTTATCCACTTATTCCAATCTGTCCAGTCATCAACAATTTTTTGCCACTCAAACCCCGAGGGATTGAAGAGAAAGGGAGCAAAAAGCCATGTCCCCACCATGAACCACATTGATATAGTAATCAGTATGTATGGAACTGCACCTCTATAAGATTGACCAAAAATTTCGTACACAATAAGTAAAATCATCAATTCAATTCCCTTGACAAAGTGACTCCGGGAGTACAGCCTATAGTTCTCAGCGAACTTCGCGTGGAACACAACGAAGCCACGACCTGTACCTCTGTATTGTGCACCACCATGAAGCAAAGTTCTTCCATAGTAATGGGTCTTTGTTCCAAGAGAAAATGTAAAAAATACAGAAGCCAACTGTAGTTGCATCAGTACAAAATCACTCAATGCATTCCGGAAACCCTTCTCAAGCCCTATTTCCATCATCATAGGCAATGCCATCAAGAATCCAATTTGCACAATAGACTGAGAAGCAAGAGCTGCTTGGAGGGCCTTGTTGTCCCGAATAGCTGGTACCGTACTCAATCCTTCTTCAAGCCCACTGAGAACTAGATAAAGGCGACCGTAGAGAAATACATAGATTGTAAGCACAGATAGCTGCCAAAGAAGAACCTTACTGATCAGACAATTATAAGAGATCATAAAAATATGGAGTAAAGAAAGCATGGTTCATATCATACCAAGGTGCTGAAATAGAAACCCACAGTTGTGAAATAACACGACAACATTCGGAAGAAATCAAACCGGTGGCCAAGTCTATATATGTCACGACTCATCGTCTGTTCACCATTGCCATTGGCTATCTTTGCCTCAAACATCGATATCTGGTTAAGGCCCACATCCCTTCCTTTACCAACTTGCATGTATTCATGATGAGTAACATTGCCTCCACGTAGCGTAGAATTGAAACCTGCACATCATGGAAGTACAGAAAATATGCATGATGAAGCTGAAACCATGTTCATAAAATAAAATAAAAGAGAAAGTGAAGGAAAAAGTCCTAAAGCAATGACAATGCCTGCAAATATGTCTTCACTTAGGTTGATGGTTTTGGAAGCTTTGCTGACACCCCCTCTGGTCAGGTGAAAGAGTCTATCAAACACATCTGGATGCCCATAGTGGAAGCGAACCCTAAATGAGCACAGAGAGAGAATGTTATGAACATTTAGCGCATCAAACATCAATGAACAAAGTAAATAACCACAATATATAAGAACCCAACTCAACAATGAGTGAGAAACGGTATGACCTTAATGAAAACAAGAAAAATGACTACATTTTGAATGTTGTCTTCTAGAAAACATAAGTTATATGACCAACATTCATGTGAACAACTTCGAGTCACTCATTTCTCGTGTTGTGTCATTCTATTCAATCTCATGCCGTATTTTACCTTGAACTAATAATTAGATACCATCATTCATCATCATTTGCTTGAGAAATAATACACAGTTAATTTGTGGGCAAAATCCACTATACCCCCTTGTGGATTAAAATGCCAAAAAAAAAAAAAATTTTTTTTTTTTTGGATTGCCACTGAAGTGTCTGGATCAAAAGCCAACTAATCCCCAGGGGTGCACAAGCCCTCGGTAAAGAGTTTCCCGCAAGTGCATCACCGTTAATTCAAGGGTTTTTCCCAGTCCGATGGCCCCAAGGAATTGTTAGCACCTAAGAGGTTTCGATCCTTGAACCTTGGAGGGAGCACACCCCCAAAACCCAAGGCCTTGCCACTAGGCCAACCCTTGGGGTTTTGGATTAACATGCAATTTTAACACTATTAAATGTTTAATTAGGGTTTCATGAATGCTTATAAATAGCCATTATGTATAAAAAAAAATTAGTTTTGGCATTAAGAATATTAAGTAGGTTGTCTTCTGTGATTAGGGTTGTGGTTCTTTTGTTCTTATTCCTCTATTCTTATTCTTCTTGATATTTTTTGTTTTCTGGTTCTGGGATTAATTGAAACAAATTCTTAATAGTCGTTCATAATTTGGTATCAGAGCCACACTTTGATCCGTTGATTCACAACCATCCATCTTCAATACCACCGCTGATTGTTGCTTGTTGCCCATCAATCAGAGGATTCGTTTCAGCGGCTTCACCCAAATTCACAGCAAATGCCCTACCTCATCTACTTCTACCTCGTTGAGCCACAGCAACTCTAGTGCAGAATCGATGAAGAATGGTTTAAAAGACACTGCTTTTACAGCAGTTGTGATTTCCAGCTACAGCACAAACAGCACCGAAATCTCATGAAAAGAGAACTGAACTAGTCAACTCGATAGCACTCAAACCAGTCAGTTCAAAGCAGTCATTCAAACTCAATTCAATTAACAAGAATTGGAAGACAACAGAACTCGAGCATAAAGCAGAGTAGTCAACAGAACTGAACTAAAGTCAATGAAGTCAACTCATATCAAATCAAAGCACCAAGTCAAGACATTAGAAAAATCACAAAACTCGTACGACTTCCAGCTAAGTCAATACACTCACAACACTTTGGTTGGGTGTTCCATCGAACAACATGAACTCAGCTGTAATGTGCAGATCGAAGTCAGAAAGTGAGACTCGAAATCAGATTCTGAAACGAAATATCGACTCACAGCACAGTACTAGTCAACATCGTTTGTGATACCTTACCAATTATAGAACTAAAATCGCAATTCGCTTTCAACTCCAAATCGCAGAAGCTAGGGTTTTGATCTCAGTCACAAACATTCAGCTAGGGTTCGTCAAAGATTGATTGCGATGTTCGCCCCGATCAAGACAAACTTCAATTATGAGTTCTTACATCTTCAACTACAGAATCAACAAATTTGAGATGTTTCGAAGTCACCACAGAGGCTTGCAACTAGAATGTTGAGGTACATTCATGAGTTTCAATTGCAAGTTAGGGTTGCTGAAGACTGCAAACTATGAACTGAATGAAATCTCTTCTTCAATCCACAAATGATGCATCAAAATAGGGACAAAGAATCTAGATCTTGTGCTCTGATATGGAATCAAGAGTCCAAAGAGAGAAGAAATCTTAGAGAGAAAATGCCCAATAGGATTCAAAGGCAGAGCTCTGGATATACAATATCAAAAATGATCAAAAGCTAGTTAGGAGGTCGCTGCACCCCTATTTATAGGCAACTAACACAACACCCAACTAACATAACAACTAACTACTCATATCTACTTGCATCATTATCCCACACAAAGAAACCTCGAACTATGATAAGAATTCGTACATAACCAACAAATTATCCCCAGGGGCACACACCTAGAACCTGTCTGAATGCAAAATACAACCATATCAATGCGGATATATAGCAGGTCAAACTTAAAATCTTACTTCAAGGGATTAGCCAACAATCTCTGTCCAATTGTTACAAAGCTATTCTCTTGAATTGACATGAACCATGCAAGAGAAGAAACACTGCACAAATCAAAACACACAAAAAATTGATTGTGATGAACCACAGAATGTACTTAGTAATATCTGTGCATGTGTAGCAACTAGAGTTTAATACCAGATCTACAACAAAAATCTGTATACCTGCCAGTGAATATATGCTCTCTAAGTCCTAGTATTGTTGGATTCCTCACTCCTTGCTTTGTAAGAAATTCTTGCAACAAGTTCCTCATTTTAAAGGCTTCTTCCATGTAGTTATCCTATTAATGAGCATTTAATGATCTTACTTCAGGCATAGAGATCATCATTTCCATTATTTATACGCAGATATATTTAAGATAGTACCTGGTTCATATCTATCGTTTGCAAGCCTTCTCCACGTGTGAATATTATGGCATGATTTTGATTTTCTGGTTTTCCTTCACCCAATATAGCAGGTCCTGGAAGTTTTATCCGATAGATTACCTGAATGAGGAAATTTGAACAACTGTCACAAATCATAATAATGTAATGCAAAGTAACATAAAAACGGTGACAGTTCACTGATAAATTTTACATAGATCAGTATATAATAGATTGCAATCTCACAACTACAAAGCAAAGAAAAGAATGGGACTTTTACACTGTTGTCAGTGACAATGACAATATAATGCACCACAAGAAAATGCGGGTGTTCGAAATGCATGTCTTTCTATATGTTTGCCACCATTTCAAGCTCAAAATTGAAACAGTAATGTAATCTACTTAAAATTCAAAAATCCTTGGTGAACCCTAACAACCAAGTAGAAATATCATATGATCCCAATTAACTTCCAAAAAGCAAGACACCTAGGTAAGCCAGCTTACAAAATCCCATTATGTTTCAACCAATGCTGGGAAAAGACAAAAAAAAACAAAAACAAAAAAAATGCATTTTAGAGATTCATCCCATGTTCGAGTTTGAACTACCTAAAATATTTAGATCTTATCATCTTACCAAAGTTTTTAAAGGTGAATGCGTAACACGAGGCAATTTATCTCTCATAAGGCAAGGAGTAAGCCTTAAGGCTTCAAGGCATAAGCATTTTGAATTTTGAACTTTTATATATAGTAAATAAATTAAATATTTTTAAATAGTAAAAAGTATAAAAACATAAATATAGAAGTGTAAATACTTTTTCTCCTTGTGGTGTCAAACATTTCACAGCAAGGAGAAGCTTGCCCTCATTGAAAGGGAATTGACAACCTAAGCTTTAGTGATCGAGCTTCTCATGTGAGACCTAACTTCGTTTTTTTCCTCAATGGTTATTATATGTGGCATATAGTTTCAAAGGAAGCTTTTATAATATTTTTATTTTTTATGTTTAAGCCATCTACTAGACTAAGTTTTAACAAGATATGTGTACTCCTCACATGCTTGTGCACAAAAGGCGTACAAGGCACACCTAAGGCACATATCTCATATTGTGATGCGTAAGCCTTTCGAAAGTATAGCCTAAAAATCAAAGCCTTGATGCTTGTTAACTTAGCCTTTCCTCGAGGCGAGCCTCAATAAAGCCTTTTAAGACTTTGGATCTTACATACAAAATATATATATTGTAAAAAAAAGTTTTGTTTTTCATATGCAAAATAATATATTGTAAGCTTTGGAGCGAGGTCAAATAGAAGAGTCTCTAAGGTTGGGAGTGCCTAGGGGAACATTTATGTTTAATTTATATACAAAATATATAATATATTGTAAAATATATAATATATTGGAAGATTTTCTTTTTCTTTTCTTTAAAACTAAATTGTGATACCACTTAAATTATTAGACATTAGCTTATTAAATTCTCATTATAACAGTAACAATTCACCACATATAACATATATTTTTATTCCTCAGCCCTCTTAGAACCCAAATTGAAAGATTTATAATAAAAAAAATCTTCATAGTTTAATTCTTAATAGGAAAACCAAAATCTAAGATAAATATTATTTCTCAACATATTTTCTTTTGCCTTAGTAGCTCTACTTTTCTTTCTCTGAGATTCATATGTATAATAGCTTCCTCCACTCCAGTTGGAACTGTGATTGTATCTCAACAGGAAATCAGTTCTCATAAAATTCTTACCCCGAACCGCAGATCACACGGTTCTAGGGCAGAAACATCACCCTCAGGAGGTGATTCATGCAATTAAATTTAGATTGGCTCAGTTCAATGTGTGCATCTCTCGTACCTGGTCTAGGCTTTGACCTGGCTCAGATGAGTCAACAGACTTTGGTACTGCCTTCACAAGAGCTGAATAATAAACCTTCTCAACCGTCTTTTTGGTTTTATCTTTGCTAGTTTCTTCTACCTCATCGACATAAGCTACGCGAAGAGATGGATACCTGCCACAAGAAATTAGGGAGATGGATACCACAATTCTATACTATAGCAATAAACAAAACAAGTAACACAATTTTAGAGACATACGTTGTCATAAGCCTCAAAATGCCTTGGGCACGGGCATCACCAGATCGTTTCTGAACGCCATATTGCTGGCATGACACCACATATGTGAACTTCATATCAGCTACTGCTTGACATTGTGCCAACAATGACCTGTCATCCCTTAGTAGTTCCTCAGTATTTGATGCAGCAGCCTTATATCCTTTCATCAACTCTGCAGAAAAGCAGCAACATACACACAAATAGCAATGAAATTTTAATTACCATACAAATGATTAAAGATATATCACAATTCTTTCAGTAAGTACCTTCGTCCTTTGCCATATCAAGGAAAGCCTGAAGTTCAAAGGCCTGCCGAAAGTACATCATGCCTCGTACTTATTTGTCAAACATGGAGTTAGAACATGAGTAGAAAACTTATCATCTGAAGGAATAAATAATCTGCAAAGATTTTGAAGTAAAAATAAATCTTATACCAGTTTTGGTCAATGTCTGGCCTCTATATGAGGCCCATAGACAAAGTTTTTCTTCCAGTTCTGGATTTCCTTTTATTTCTTCCTCACTTCCGCATTCGATCCGTTCAAGAAAATTGGTCCATTCATCTGTATATTGCAACTTCATTCAGAATTAAAGGACTGAAACTTAATGATGAAAACATATCATAATGCATAATAGCTCACAAGTTGACAACCAAATAAGAAGCCCAACCTGGAAAAATTTTTTGCAAGTAGAATAGGATAGATACACCATCTTCATTTTGCTTTTCCAGGTGATTCATGGAAAAAAGGACATCCTCATTAAAGTACGGAGTTAGGACACTATAAGAAAAATTACAAGTATGTAAGTTGGTATGTGATACTTAAGATTTACCCAAGAGAAGTAAAATAAATAAACAAGAGAAAAATAAAAATGAAAAAAATAAGCCAAACTAAAGAACAAAAGAATCCTTCCTCCCATCTACGCAAACACATTATTATGCATGCTAATCAAAATCCCACTACTAAAAAGCTAGGCCTAAGGAGGTGAACTCTGGGGTGAGCTGTAAACTCAGACATCTCTTGTCGGTGCCTTTCAGGCTTAATTGATATATGTGATTGGTAGGTGATTGCAAGTATCCAGTGTTTACTTTGCAATGGTGGGCCCAACAGGCCTTTGGGGAGATTGCTTGACATACAATAAATAAATAAATAAATCATAAAATATAAGTATAAAATAAAATCATTTGCCAGAGTTGGCTAGATTCCATCATCGACTGTTACTTACAAAACTTCAAAATGGAATGACTCCCTGTCAATCGTTGTTACATTGTCCTCATGTTTGACTTTTCTAAGATGCAATTTAATTCAACTTCCGCCTAGAGTTATGGTTTTACTAACAATGCTAAGGATGCCACTGCCAACCGATGGACCCCATCCTTTTTGTCCTTTTTCAGTGAGAAGATTTCTCTCTAATTACTGATTTTTGTATGATTCTGCAGTCCATTATAGGTAAAAGTTTTCACAAGTTCAGCCTATCTTAGCACTAGCAGATTAGCAACTAGGAAACTGCTAGGCAGCAAGAGTGCTTTAAACATGACGAAATTATAAGCAACAGTGAAACATTAAGTGTCCAGGTATTTCTGTACATGCAATGAGAAAACTAAAAAATGTTTTGAGATTTTACTAGGCAAAGAACATTGATACATTGTCAAAATGCCAATGTACCAATATGACATTTTAGATCCAATTAGTGGGAATCTCTAAAGCATGAGGGTGCTAATACCATAATAGGCATAAAAAAGAGAAGTAAAAGACCTAAGTATTATCCACAAAAGAGGGCAAAGCCCGTTTTACATAGATTTTGAGGGTGTGATCTGAACAAGCTATTGGGTCATTACATCCATCTGTCACGATTGAGCTCAAGGTATTGGGCCAATTTTTTCCAACAAGATTTCCTTTTGAGCAAAAGGTTAAAATAAATGCATGATTAAGATTTTCCCTCTGCCCTCTTGAATTAATACTCATTGTTGGTTTTAAATTACAGGAATTCATTATTCTTGTCTATTATATGTCTTCAATCTTCATTGTCGTAAATCATACAACCATCTCTTGACCTAGGTCATAATTTGAAACCTTAAGAGGTAGTCTAAATTGATGTTTTAGTGGACATTACAAAAGCTTTCTTGTTTTGTCACCTGAAGAATGAACATTCATCTCTAAAAACATTTACAATTTCTCACAAATGAAAAAAAAAAAAAAAAAAAATTGATAGACTTTTTTGATAAAGATATAAAGGTAAGTAAGAGTACAACGAGACATCCTTCGAGTTTAAAGAAAAACAAAAATAAACAAATAAGGTACCTATGAAGTGTTTAATAACCAAAAACAAGTCGACAAATATCAATTTATGTACTTTCCTTTCGTCCAGTCTGCCACATCTTTTGAAGAACAAAGTAGAGTTTGAGTTGTACAATGGAAAGGTAGCTAGGCCAAGTACCGAGATTCTAGAAGGGAGTCACATCCATATCGTACTAGTATCAAATACTAATACTCCTCAGATAAACGTATCTAATACTTGATATTAATTTTCTTTAATTTTGATAAGTATCAGATCCTTTCGAAAACTCTAGATCAAGTATCCAAACTATTATGGAATTGAGATTGTAATACTTTTTGCGTAGTATTGGAATATAATTATTAGAATAAATACCATAATAGTTTTTCAATACTTTTTCTTATTTCTTACATAATAAGTAAACTTCGAAATAATAGTACCTTAATTCTTTAGAATTTAATCGATTAATGTATCCTTAATGTGTCATACATGTGTCCCATATTCTAAGAAGCACAGACACTCTACGGACACGACACTCTACGGACACTCTTAATCCGACACTTCTTTAACGTGTCTTAATTAACTCTGACACTCTGTGAACACTCTTAAGAAGCGTGTCCAGCACTTCTTCAATGTGTCTTAATTAAAAATGTAAATTCATAATATCAGACACTTTACAAGCACTTCTCGGACACTTTGGTGACACTTCTTGAACTATCTGAATGCAACTTATTCACTTTAATATGTTATATTGGGTAAATTACAAATACACCCCTTGAGGTATTCTTAAAATAAAAATTGCCCATTGTGGTTTTAGAAATTACATTCCACCCCTTGAAGTTACTAATTTCATGAAAAATAGCCCCTTCTATTAATAAATCATCAAGTCAATTAACAATTTTAATGATGTCATAAATTTATTTCAATTAATAATTCAAGCAATTTTATTATCGTATAGAAAAACAGTTAGGAATTTCATTCTTTCAATTAATTCTGTTAAATAAATAAAAAAATCTGACAATGATTTGTAATTTTCCAAAGGCAACTCGTATTTTAAACAAACCTCAGAAGGTGTATTTGTAATTTACCCTAATATGTTTTGAAACACTTATAAGATGAATGATGAATACATCATGTGTATTTCTATATTCTAAAATTGTTTTGCATTCTTTAGATTGTAATAATTGTTATGTGAATGATATTTTGATGTTTAATTTTAATATTAATTAGTGTTATGTTTTCTTTTTATTCAAATAAACTATTCATATATTTTGAAATAAAATAAATTTATAAAAATATAAATTAGTAATGTGTCTCAAACATGTGTCCCCTATAGTTTTTGGAAATTGATGTGTCAGCGTGTCAATGTTGTGTCACGTGTCCGTGTAGAAAGTAAACTTGCAAGAATATATATATAATACTAACATCAGATTTTAACAATTAAATAAGCAAGTAAATTTGCATACAACACTTTTGCATTTAACACTTCTGAAAAGAAAAGCACAACGGCAATACAAATAAATAAACTTGATATTGGAATAATTTTTTATAGGGACCCCTAAAAAATGTAAAATGATTACTTAAACTAATATCTAATTCCTAACTTTTTTGAGCCTACGTATATTTAAATTACTCAAAATTAAATTTTTTGAGCCTACTTAAGTTTTTTATAGGACCCCCTAAACCATTATTTGAGCCTACCTAGTACCTACACAAATTTACAATACTAAAAATTATTATAAAAAAAAATAAACAAAACCCCAATGTATCCTAGGCGTACAAGTATTTTATTTCTTTTAGGTTTTTCATATTTGTATCATATTGTATCCATATTCATGCTTCATAGCCAGGTACCCAAACGAATAATGAAACAACACTTACAAGTACCCACTACCAAAAGGAATAGACTCCCCCCATGCATCTCATCCTTGAGCAACGCTCAAGGTGCATCGAACTAGAGCCTAATTAGGGAGAATTTGATAAGAGTTTAACTAAAACTAGATGCTAAAATCAGAAAATTAAGCAAATTTCCCCCCATTTTACACCATCTAGTAGATGTGATACACCTAATCATTTGCAATATTGACATATTTGCTACCAGAATGATATTAGGGAACCAACTACCAGTGCAAATTAAACCATTAAAAGTCATGGCCTTACTAGGTCAATTGTTGTTTCTTGCTAATTAAGCTTGTAAGTAGTGAATTTAGTCATCCGACTGCAATTGGACTTTTGGGAACTAAATTGCCATTTGGTTCTGTTATTTTATCTTCATGAAAGCATGCTAACGTTTAGTTCATTCCAAACAGGAGCAAGAGAGTAGTTAGCTTAAAGTGTCAATGAACTTGATGGTATGGAAGTATTCACACTTCAATATCATTGAGAAGATGAAATTGCAAACGATTGATAATGGTCATGGTTTCTACTGAGCTTTTGTATTTAGATCAAGAAGTCCATGCATCTCATTTTGAAACATGCTCTAACCATTACAGCCCCCTTTCAGTGATCCTTTATATCTGAACACTCCCTCTCACTTCAGGTCCTGTTTGGTAGAGCTGTGGAAAAGTGCTTATAGCTTATGCCTTAACAGCTTATAGCTTATAACTATGAACATAAGCTGATTTCTGACTTATAAATTAAGCATCTCCTACCTCACTCAAAGAATAAGCTGATTTCTAACTTACAAAAAGCTATAAGCTGCATTGTTAAGCTAAACCAAACACATCAAAATAGCTTAAATTAAGCTGAAAGCTGAAATAAGCAGCTTTTAAGCTGCACCAAACAGGCACAGTGACTTGTTTTCACAGCCACTTTATTGTGCATCGACACCTATCAACACAAGGACCTAGTACCGTGAACATAAGATGGATCATACATGAGGATCATGTTTTTCTGTTACATTTTGGAAGAATGTTACGCAACTTTAGATGAATGTTAAATTGTTTATCGGATGTACTTCTGAATTTTTGTTTTGGATGGACATCAAACAATTTTGGATTTACTTTGTATATAATATTTTGGTTTGTATGAAATATAATTTTGGCAACGTCTGAATTTATGGTTGTTTGTAAAGTAGTTGAAATGTTATCAAGTGTTTACTGCATTTGGTTGTGTGTTATTATAGCCCGTAGGTATTTGGTTGGGCAGTATTACAACAAATATTATAACAACTGCACATCCAATAAAGGTTACATTAGTCCATTAAACATGCACTATTAGACTAGTTACAAAGAGTAGAAGCATAATCCTGCAATGCACCATATATAGCTGAAAGGATCAGGTTTGCTTGGTAGTAGGAAACTGAACAGTTTGGGTCTGGTCGGTAGTATATAGCCCAATGATCAAAGTTTGTTCAGCATTAGGAAACTGAACGAGTGATGTTTGTTTCGGATCAGGAAACCAAACAGGTGAGGTTAGTTCAACATTGAAAAGACGAGCATATTAAAACGTTTGGCTCTAATGCACCAAACAAAAGTCGAACAAATAACCCAGGAACCAATTCAAAAACGTTAAAAATTCCAAAACAAACACATCGTTTGGGAATTTTGCTGCTCCCTCACCACCATTTCTATGTCCATTGTATAAGCCTCCTTTTATTATCAAAACGCTTTCGTTCACACTTTTTATCAAAACGCTTTCATTCACACTTTTTGTCAGAGGTATAATAAAGAGGATGAAATGAGAAAGGAATGAGAGGAATAGGGTTTAAAGAGATATTATGTTTATATTTGTTTTTTGTTTTTTTCCCTTAAAGGCAATTTTGCACAAGGGTAAAATTATAATAATAAAAATTCAAATATGGAGTGTAATGTGCTAAAAAATTGTATAAGTAGAATTACCCTTTGGTTGTTCTCAAATCTTTTCTTTTGACAAAAAGAGGCCAATGGAAATTACTATTGTTGGATATTCCTAATAAGTGTAGAAACAAGTCATTATTTCGTTATGTTCGTAGTATTATGGTGTGTTTCTATGCAGTTAGGTGGAAACAATAGAGTTTTGGTACTCAACTAATGTTTCATTTCGGTTTCCCAGGAAACGGAAACATTTTGACAGTTTCAAAGAGAAAAAAACAAAATTTTGTTCCTTGGGTGTTACCAAGGGATCAAAGCTTTGATTCTAGGGTCTTGGTCTCTAGTTACTCCTGCATTCATTACCTCTTCCATGTCCCTATTTGCATTATGTTTTTCCTCTGGATTTCTCTCCATAGGCAAGAGGGCACATGTGACGGAAGATACAAAGATAAAAATACATTGTTTGAACATTTCCCTAACAACTTGCTCTTTTAAAGAGTTTGTTCTTACATATGATGATTATCAAAATTTTGAGTTATTTCACTACTAAAACAAGCCAAATCCCTAAAATAACAGAGACTATTAGAAATTAATTAAAATTCAAAAATCGAAGTGATGGGGATCATGTGAGAACCTCCATTTATTGCACCTACGTGAGACGAGGGCAAACGATTCAGCATTTAGGATTTAGGATTTAGGATTTAATTATGCAATTTGGTTTATTTTAGGATTTATTGTCTATTTTAGGATTTATTGTCTATTTCCACATTTGAGACCATGTGACCAGCTATAAATACTAGACTTGTTGTAATTGGGAGACACCTACACCTTTGGTATGGAGATCAATATTGAGTTTAGAGAACTGATATTGTTTATTTTATTTTTTCTTTTCCCTTTGTTGGTTCCAATCTTGCCTGTCATCCGGGATCACAAAATAAATAGGTTATACAATTGCGAGAGAAGCAATTACAAGATCGTTTTACATCTGGGAAGTTTAGAAAGCACAAATAGCATAAAATCCTATGTTTAAACAATTGGAATAATTTTTTAAAATATTACTTCATAACAATTGGAGTAATTTTTCATTAATGTCTATTATGGGATTGACTCAGTTTCAAGACAGTGATTCTAATATTCTATTATAAAAATATTTTAAAAATTGCAAATGATCAACGAAATTTACATAACAGTCTGTTAACATGGTAATGTATGTGAAAGATGTGAATATGATGCATTTGGTGTATTTTATATTATTGTTATTATGTCCTTTAGCTAAGGGTAGTTTAGTCTTATTATCGTAATTAGGTTATTAGGTTTTTGGCATGTTTATTATATAGATTGCACTTAGTTTTGATTGATTAATTCAATAAACAACATGCTTTCATATTATGTTTTCATGGTATCAGAGCCGGAGTACTTGGGGATGGATAGGGTGCGTGTCCCTGGCTTGCACGCCACAAGTGTTGCCAAGTGAGCACGCTGGGCGTAAGGGAGGGTGTGAAGCGAAGTCCCATCTCGCCTAAGTACTAAAATAATGTCAAGCATATAAGTGTGAGGACACCTCACCTCTTAAGCTAGCTTTTGGGGAGAGTTCTACCCAAGGTGTAGCATGAACAAAGATCAAAGTGTGACTGGAAGCAAACCCAAAGCAGAGCAAGCCACGAACTGAGTCAGAGATGTGAACTGATGCTGTGACGGCCTGAGAGAGAAGCCACAAGCTGAGAGAGACCCATGAACAGAGCAGGCCAAAACAGGTTGTCGAAGATGCAAAGGAGAGTCATGAACTGGTTGTCGAAGTCAGAGATAGATTCGAATTGAAGTCATGAACTGGTTGTCCAAGTCGACTGAAAGACAAATCAAACACAGGGGAACCACCTTCGAATGGGAGAGAAGTCGCCTGCATGTTGATGGGGCTACGGTGGTCTTGTGAAGAAGAAAAGAGGAGTCACAAACCACCCTAGAGAATCGTGAGCCACCTGCGAAGAGAGAGAGGAGACTTGCAAACCACCTACAAAGAAAGAGGAGACTTGCAAACTGCGAAGTCTTCCTATGATTGCTTCAGAACCCTGGGTATGGCTTTGATACCATGCTACACAAGCTTAAGAGGTGAGGGTGCCCTCACGCTTATATGTTTGACATTATTTTAGTACTTGGGCGATGTGGGACTTCACTTCACAAAAGAAACGGAACAAGGAAGAGGGCAATAACAAGCCACGGCAAACAACCAATTTCAAGATTCTTAATTCCCAAATTATAGTACTTCATGTTTCATAGCATTTAGAACGGCATACTAGAAACCAATTCTCTCAATTTCTTAAAAACAATTAAAAATAAAAATAAAAAAGCCATAATTCAATCAATTTCTGCAATGTACGTAGAAGTGATGGAAAAGATAAGCCTATTGATCAAAACTTACGAAAAGGAAAGCATATTGCGAACTTTTGGCGCTGCAGGCATGTCCATAAACAATGAATTTGAGAAGAAAGAAAGACGTCTTCTAGCTTCTAAATTGGATGGCACATCCATAGCAGATTCCTTCACTGTAAGCAATAGATGAAGCCTTTTAATCTGAAGAAGGAAAAAACAAGCATTGTATGAGTAAAAAGTATAACTTCAGATAAAGACAAGATGAAAAGGACAAAAAAAATGTTACATAGATGCAAAGAAACCAACTATAAGAGATTCAAACACTCTTGATTTCTTGCTCTCTGTGGCAATAGAAAATAAAACTGCAATTCTGGAAAATTAACAGGAACCGAAAAACAAATTGCCAGACACTCTAAAACTAGAATTTTTCTTTTTTCATGGGTATTTTAAGTAACACTTACTCTCTCATTGAAAGCTTCTATGTCATCTGTAACTGGAAACCTAAGTTCTCCAAAGAACTGATATTGCTTATCCAGAGGTGTCATTCCCTCATCCATTCCATAAGATCCACCATGGCTTGAATCTAGCAAACTGCTAGAGAATAAATCAACATGTACGATGAAATCAACTTGCAACAATAGTTGTGGAGATAATTGCTTCTGAATGATTTACCTAGGACTTGGGTCGTCCATTATGTCTCTGGTCACAACCTCCAGCATGTTGAGCAATACAATGACAACCTTATCCTTGTCTTCTTTTTTATTTTCTCTCTGCAGAATTACCAGTGCATTTAGGATTCACTATTAACCTTAAATTCCTCAGCAACTACATTGAGAAAGTTTTTCATATATTATATATTTACCAGATACTCAATTAGCTGAACAAATTGTTCGTAGAGGCTAGGCAGAGCACTCATATTCAATACACGGATCAGATCATCTTCTTGCATATGAAGATCGACTTCAGAGAAAATATCATTTATAACACTGGAGATAGTTAACCAACAAGTCAATAATGAGACAACTTAAGAGGAGAGAGAGAGAGAGAGCAATATGCTTAGATTGCGTATGTGTTAGATAGCAATTAACTTACGCTTGTTCACGTTGCCCTAAAACTAAAAATTTGATGATGTTTTTGCATGAAGCATAACACTCCTTTACAGCACAGAGCATATAATTGTCTGCCTGCAATCTCTTTTTCAGCTCATGGTCTTTCTTGTTGCTATCTTTAGCCATATCCAAAGCTATTGGCAGCTACACAGTACTCAAAGAACAGATGCATATATCTATTAAGCAAGGTTAAAGGGAGAAGGTAGCTAGGGAGATAGAAACCTCGATCAAGGAAAAAAAAGGCTCAGGAGACAAAAACCTTGCTAGCAAGTAAAAATGGAGGCCACTGGATAAGATTCAGATCACGATCAGCCGAATATGGGACAAGCAAAAGGTTCTTTTCTCTGTGAAGGCAAGAAAATAAAATAGTAAAACCAATTAAAAGGAAAACACACAGAAAAGCTTTCAAAAATCATATATATATTCAAAGTAAGGGAAACATTTTTAAGTGTTGGAATCCTTGTACTACCTATTATTTATTAGATCCTCCTCTCTGAAGCTAGTAATTATTTTGTTCCACAACTGAGCAAATCTTGCTGACGCCTTCTCTATGTTCGATGGGACCTGAAGAAACAGCCAATTCCCAAAACTTACTAAATAAATAAAAAACAAATGAACAAATAAACTAAAGAAGTAGGTGAAAATGGATCGGAGTAATATAGTAATCAATATATACAAGATGTAATTGAACCTCATCAAATCTTCGAGATAATGTAGCTTTGAGACCCCTTTTAGGCTTCTCATTGTTTTCGGGTGGAATCAAGCGAGCGTTGAAAGCACCCGGCAATGATGAAAATCGAGACCTCAGCATGCCCAGTGTTCGAATCTGAATGCAAACAGAAACATTGAATTTCTCATTTCAAGAACCAAAGATCAACAAATGGCAGGACATATTTTTAGAGAAAATTATATATTATTAGATGAGGTTGTATAAGAATTTTTTAGAGTAATCAAATACACATTTTTTAGGAAAGTAATATTTGAAGTTGCATTAATTATCATGGCATCCAACTTATGAGTCATTCAACGGAACTTTGTACAAAATAATTGAACAAGGTTAAGACGAGGCAATATTTTCAAAAAAATCAATTTGGAAATCCACCATTGAAGCTTTCATTGGTTTGGAAAAACAAATGATAAGATTCCTAGAATGATAATGTCAAGGGTTTTCACGAAAGAAAGAAATATCACTTAGATATTGTTAGACTAGTTGCATGTTGAGTGTGTTATTTAATTCTATAATCAGGGGTACTATTGTCATATTGTCAAACTTGAGTTTAATATAAATAAGTGTTGAGGTGGAGGGTTGAATTAAAACTCTAAGCCTATTATTGCTGCAATTTCTTTTCTTTTTTTTTTCTCCTTTGTCTCCTCTCCATCTAATCATAACTCTAATCTCTGCGTACTTTACACTTCAACTTGGTATCAAATTATTCAATTCTACTCACACAAGTGTTGAATAGAAGTTGGACATCATCCGAAGGTAATGGTGATGTGCTGACATCATCATCTATACAAGGATGTTAGTGTGACATCACGTCCGTACGAACGTCGTGATCCAAAAAACCTAGGGTCCAACTGGTTTCTGCCTCTTGGTATTTAGGGTGATTTTTATAAAATTAATTGAAGTCATTTGATATGATTTTTGAATGATTTTCAAAATTATTGTAACATTTTTGTAATCGCAATTATGAACCTTTTATGCTATTTTTGTTATAATCCTCTCTCTAGGTGTGATAATTGAAAAGTCCAACCCACATTTCTCCTTAAAACCCAGGTATTAAGGAGAGAGAAACTTGAGCATTAACCAGCACAAATGAGGCAACTCCAGGAGACGTGGGACACATTCCATCACACCTTCCTAGACTAGGACATACAATAGCCGGACAAACAGCACACTAGTCACAGGCCCAACCAAGTTCTGATACCAAATTGAAAAACTCAATCCACACTTCTCCTTAAAACCCAGGTATTAAAGAAAGGGAAACTGAAACCTTATAACTAGCACAGATAGAGCAACTCCAGTAGCATAGATAGGGCAATTCAAGGAGATGTGGGACACATTCCAACATCAATTTGCACCTGTAAGGCCTTCTTTGGTGTTTATTTGATGATTAAATACACTGGGTGGTGATTTCTAGACATCTAATAGGTTCGGCACCCCCCTTACCTAGTTCGGCAACTTGGATTATGGATGAACTTGTGTTCTGAATGTTCTAGTGCTTCATCTTGCTGCCTATTATCTATCTTGTTGTGGTATGTGGTTTCTTGTCCTGTTGGAGTTCTCTTGGTAGCATTTTTTTTTCTTTGATTGTTCATCTGCTATCTAAGTTTCATGGCTGAGGAAAAATCTCCAATCGCTAAGGATGAGGTGCCTCACACTTCATTGGTTAAGGATGAAGACTTGCCCAAATCTATCACTACCTAGAAATCGAATGGTTAGAATTAAATGGCTTAGGCATATGTTGTGAAGGTGTTTTTGCGCTATGTTACATGGACTCGGGTACGGGTGTCGGGTGCGGGTATGTATCTAGAGGTCGGACTCATCAAATCATAAATTTAAGGATACGCGGACTCGGCAAAAAAATGTCATATTTTTATATTTTTAATCTAATATGTGAGATAAAATGGTATTATATTTAACTTATAGTGTCAAAATGACATTTATAGCAATTATATAACAATATATACACATAATAATAGTGTTATATACAATTATATATGAAGTATCCGTTGAAAAGTATTCGACACATATCCCATACCCTTGTCCGAGTGTCGGGTGTCCGACACGGGTATTTGATTTAATTTGAAGAGTCCATGTAACATATGCGTGGAAAGAAAAAAAAAATCATGCTTCTATACAAAACTTCCTCCACCTACCGATGATAAAACCTTTGATGATTGGTCTAGCAAAGATTCTGGTGTTATGGGATGGCTTTGGCATAGCTTTGGAACCGAATGTTGCAACCACAATTGAGTTTTGTAAAACATCTAAGCAGAATTGGGACTCTCTTGTTGAGTCTTTTTCACATGAGAGTAACATCTCTCGAGTGTATGAGTTGCATGAGAAGATTTTTCCTACTAAGCAGTTTGGTCGTCCCCTCTCTTAGTATTATAGTTGTCTTAAGAATTTGTGGGGTCAATTATAGTAACATTGCCCCTTACCTTGTCCATTATGGTTTCTGGCAATGGTAACACTCACAATGGGTATCGTAGCAACTTTGGCTCTTCTAGCACATAGACTAGGTCTTGTGGTCATAGTTCTCGTGGTCGTGGTTCTTATCGAGGCTCTCGCTGTGACGAGACCCCGTGGTGGTCATGGTTCTACTTATTGTCATGACTGGAAATGTAACGATTGGTTCCACTGGCCATAAAAAACCTTGGTGTTGGCAAAAGTATGACTTGACCATGTGCATCAAGTTACCAATATAGCTCTCTTCCCAGACATCTTCCTCTGGCTATGTTGCTCCTTCATCTGATTCTCATGAGACACTCACTACTCAAAATAATGCGCTTACTTCACTCCTTCATTTTGTTCTCCCATCATTGTCCACCATTACATTGGCCAATTCAAGTAATATTGCATGTAGGGCTCAATCTAGCCAACTTTGGCTCCTAGACTCTAGCGCTAGTTCACACATCTCTGGCAATTCATCTCTTTTCCATAGTTTACATCCTCCACCCATAATATTGTTCCTGCAGATGGGTCATCTCAACCGATCAATGGGATGGGTACACTTCACCACACCACCGCTTTATCTTTACCCTTTAGTCTCTATGTCCCTAACTTTCTCTTTAATTTGCTGTCAGTTAATCAATTAACCAAAGCTCTCCACTGTTCCATAACATTTTCTCCCATTTCTTGTGCTTTGCAGGACCTCAAGACCATCATGAGTTCGGGACCCAAACAGCAAGGGTAATATTATCAAGATATTGATAACTAACACATTCATATTTCATCTTTTCTGAGTGCTACCATCTCTCCCCTGCAGTGGCATTTCCGTTTGAGTCATCCATCTTTGGCTAAGCTTAAGCTTATTGTTCCTGGTTTGAGTCATATGTCTACACTAAAGTGTGAAGCTTGTCAACTTGCAAAGCATCGTTGTGGTTCCTTTACTAGTCATAGTGTCAGTCGTGAGTCAAGAGTCTTTTGATGTAGTCCACACGAACATATAGGGTCCTTCTCGTACTTCTACACTTAATAATTTTTTTTTTTTTTTCTGTAGATGATTTCCCTCGGATGACTTAGTTGTTTTTAATGCCACAGCGCTTTGAGTTACCTCACATATTGTCTAAATTTTATAATGAAATTCATACTCAGTTTGGTAAACGTATTAAAATGTTTCGATCTAATAATGCCTAGTATACCCAATCTGTTGTTAATTCCTTTTGTGTTGATTGTAGTATTATTCATCAGACTACGTGTGCTCACACTTCTCAACAAAATAGAGTTGATGAACGGAAACACCGTCATGTGTTAGGTATGCTCATACCATGTTATATAACATGTATGTGCCCAAACACTTTTGGGGTGCTGTGCTCACGGTGTTCTCTCTCATTAACTATATGCCCTCAATTGTGTTGCATAATCAGTCTTTGTTTTCCCTATTATATCCTCACTATTCCCGATTCCCTCTCCATCCTCATGTCTTTGGTTGTATGGCCTTTGCTCATGTTCTTGATCCTGATCAAGATAAGTTATCTCCCTATACTCACAAGTGTCTTGTTAGGTTATGCTCACACTCATACTCATAAGGGTTATTCATGTTATCATCCTGAGTCTCATCATTATATGGTCAATGGTGATATCACATTTTTTGAGTCCACCACTTTCTCTTCTCATGGCCAGCAATTGTCTTCTAATCTCATCTCTTGTCATGAGGGAGAGCCTTCTTTCCCACCTCCACTCCCACTCCTACTCTTCTGATGTTAGATGTGTCCTTTCCTTCCTCCATAACTCCTTCATCATCTTCCGAAATATTTTCTCCTCTTATTCCACCTCTGTCCTCCCCATTGCAAGTCTACAAGTGATCCCAAACTCGACCTATGGTTTGTTATGGCCTAACCAGTTCATCTTCTTCGTCAGAGGTTCCTGTTCCATCCTCGCCTTCAGTCTCTACCAATTTGCCTATTGCTTTGCATCAAGGTAAACATATTTGCACTCAGCATCCTATTTCCCAGTTTGTTGCTTCTGCTCGTGTCTCTGGTTTTTCTTTCCTTTGCTTGTAGTTTGTCTTCTCTTTCTATTCCCACCTCTTATCGGCAAGTCTTGTCTAGTTCTGGCCGAAAACATGCTATAGACGAGGAAATTAGTGCTCTTCATCAAAATCAAACATGGGAGCCCACTACTCTCTCAAAGCCTACAGTTGGGTGTCGTTGGATTTATATTGTTAAGCATCTCACCGATGACTTTGTTGACCATCTTAAGGCTAACCTGGTTGCAAAGAGATACGCACAAACCAATGGTTTTGACTATTTTGAGACCTTTTCCCTGGTGGCTTCTCTTAATTTCGTTTGGATACTTCTCTCTATTGCTATCAAGTGTTCTTGGCCCGTATATATCAACTTGATATAAAAAAATGTTCTCTATGGCGATTTGCAAAAGGTGGTCTATCTGGACCAACCACCTAGTTATATTGTGCCCAATAATGAGCATCTTGTTTGTCGCCTGCGAAAAGCTTTGTATAGACTGAAGCAATCTCCTTATGCTTGGTTTGACTGCTTCAGTACTATTTTACTTGCCTACGGGTTTAAGCAATCCACTTCTGATCATTCTGTTTTTGTTCACCAATCATCTGCTGGGGTTATAGCCTTGATTGTTTATGTGAATGACATTATCATTTCTAGTAATGACTCTATTGGGATTGCTACTTTAAAACACAATTTAAGCCAAAAGTTTCGTACTAAGAACTTGGGGAATTTTCAAAATTTTCTTAGGATAGAGGTTGCTCATTCTTTTCAAAGTTTTTTCCTTTCTCAGCAAAAGTATGTGCTTGATCTTTTCTCTGAAACAGGCCTCTTGGGTGCCTGACCCATACTCCTATTGGGATTGAGGTTGCTCGTTATGTTTTTATGTTGGCTAGTATCGTCGTTTGGTTCGGAAATTGATTTATTTTATTGACACCCATTTGGCTACTACTTATGCTGTGAGTGTGGTCAGACAATTTATACATGCTCCTCGTCATCTACACTTTAATGTCGTGTTGTATTTTGCGCTACCTAAAGAGTGCCCTTACCCGTGGTTTACTGCATCACTATTCTACTTCTTTGTCTGTCACTGGCTTTAGTAATGTTGATTGGGCTGGTAGTCATACTAATCATCGTTCCACTTCTGGCTATTGTACCTTTGTTGGTGATAACCTAGTTAATTGGTGTAGCAAGAAGCAAAATTTTGTTGCTCAATCTAGTGTCGAAGCTGAGAATCACGCTAAGCCCTATACCGCTTCTGAGATGTTGTGGATTTGCTCTCTTTACACGATATTGTGGCAATCAGGCTACTATCTTCATTTTAAATAATCTGGTATTTCAGAAAGCACTAAGCATATTGAGGTTGACTTTCATTTCATTTAGGATTTGTTATTACGAGAAGCATCTTCTCTATGTTCGGTCTGATGATCAAATGGGGTGATATTCTTACTAAACCGTTAGCTCGACCTTCATTTCAGTGCTTGTCCGCCAAGCTAGACATGTTCAAGCTCTATGCTCTAGCTTGAGGAGTGTTAGAAAAGTTGCATGTTGAGTGTGTTATTTAATTCTATAATGAGGGGTACTATTGTCATATTGTCAAACGTGAGTTTAACATAATTCTATAATGAGGAATACTATTGTCATATTGTCACACTTGAGTTTAACATAATTCTATAATGAGGAATACTATTGTCATATTGTCACACTTGAGTTTAACATAAGTGCTGAGGTGCAAGGTTGAATTAAGACCCAAAAAAAATTCACTATTTAATATTTTTCTAACAACCATTCCTACTTTGTTATTATTATTTATTTTTTATATGTAATACAAATCTATTTCTTTTTTCTTTTCTTTTTTTTTTTCTTTCTTGACAATACAATTTATTTCAATTTCAAAAAAATTTGTCCATTGATATCCCCAAAAAAAATCCATCCGTTGGTCTATTGTACGACACCAACCACTCATTCAATTATATCTCACAAATGCATCTTTGATGCATTGAACACACCAGCCACTATGTTCTCGCACTCTCTTTCTGTCTCTCTCACATACCTAGGTTCTCTGCATTCAATTACTCTTTTCTCAGACTCAATGGCTTCTCAGACTCAATGGCTTCTCTTACATACATTTGTCAGTCCTCTTTCTTACACAATCTCTCTCAGCCTCTATCTACCTCTCTTAGTCCACGATTGGTGATTTCACTCGACGATCTACCACTCACGCCTCTCTCAAACACTCAATCAATGATCTCACATGGCATGGAGCTTGGAGATTAAGGAAACTCAGGAGGGATTCTCAAACCTCGTCAGTGCTCAGTAGGTCGCGTCCCCACCTGCGGCAATCCAACCCCAACAACAACTACCGAGGGTTTTCTTTAAAGATCTACAACAAATCCGCAAATCCCTCAACCTTGTTTGATTTTTCCTTTTTCTTTTTTTTCTTTTTCTTTTTTTTGTATTAATTTGTGTTTTTGAAATTTCTTGTGAAGTTTTGGTTCAATTGTTGTATTTCTGTGTTTTTTTTTTTTTTTTTGGGCCGGGAAACTTTGAAGGACGGAGGAATTAGTTAACTAGTTTGATGATGTGGCAAGGTATGGCATTGCCAAAGTTGCTGCCAAATTTGGCACAACAAATAGCATTGGCAAAATTTGGCAAGAGACATAGCAGCCCACTGGAGAACTAGTTTTGTGAATGCCAAATTTTGGCAATGGCAGCTCCTTTGGCAGGCCATTGGAATTGCTCTAGGAAAAAACTTTAGTAGGGACAAAAATAAAATAAAACAAAATAAAAAAGTACTTTGTGGAAACAAACAAAATATATGCTACTTAATCATGTTTGTTTTATCTTCTCCTCTCTATCTCTCCTCTTCTCCTATCTAGTTTCTTAGATTCTCTAATAAATTTAGTACTCTTTATCCTCAATTTTTCATTTACCAAAAAGACGCAAATAGAAATGAGAATTGGTAATTATTCTGAAGAGGTGTGTCGATTACTTATCATTTCGATTTGTTTGGTAGTGTTTCCAGTGTTATTTGGTATGTTTCGGTAGGTTTTGTTAATTTGGAAATAATCCCAATTCACTAGTTGTGATGAACTAAGTAGGCACATTCAAGAGCCTGTCCTTGATGCTTGTAGTTTTCAAACAACATAATATTAACAAAACTATTATGTTATGCTTGGGTGCTAGCTATAAAGCACAGACACCTCTCTAGATGTCACATACTGGTGTTCAACACCTATCTGACATGGACATGCTCTCGACACAAGTCAGACACACTCAAGGCATCGTCCCATATTTTTAGTTGAACAAAATGCGATGTTTCATTTTATTTTATTTTTTTATTTGTTTCACCGAAGCAACATACCAAAGGTTGATGAACTTGATGAGAATAAATATTTTACAAAGAAAAAAATTATATAACATTTAAATATATGATACATAATAAATATATAAAATGATATATTTTGCACTTATCTCCTATGTGTTGTGTTTAAAGATTTGCATGTATGCCTACAAATGTCATGTTCATGCTTCTTAGGGTGCTAGTTATTTCAATATTAGTGTAAAAGGGAACTTTAAATTTACCTTGGTATCAGATAGTAAGATTTGTTGTTGTGAACAATTTTGAAGGCTCTGTGATGTAAGTTACCCCTTGTTGGATAGCTAGATATACCTTGTTGGACCCATTTCGTAACAGCGTAAGCTTTTGGGATAATTGGTGACTTAACATGGTATCAAAACTCAAGTTGAGAGAAGTCTTGGATTCAAGTGTCTTCATTGGCATTTGGTATTATGTCCTCATTTGGTTTCTCCTTCTCTGTTTGGTTGTTTGTTTCTCCTTCTATTTGGCTCTCTGTTTGTCTCTCCATGTGTAGGATGGGGTTGCATGTGAGAGACGATGTTCAATAGCTTAAGCTTTGGGGACAATTGGTGACAAAACACCCCACCCACCCAAAATATATATATATATATAATCATTAATAACAAAAAATAAAACTAAACGTTCACTTTATGTGACACGAGACGCGCTTGTCTATCGGGATAACCAATAAGATTCGGAAACTATAAAGCACGGACACCTCTCCGAAGACAACGTATGGGTGTCCGACACTTGATGAGAGGTGTCCCCTTTTCTTTTTTCTTTTTTTGAATTTTTTGCAGTCGGACACGTTGGGGACACGATTCCGAACAAAACCCTAACTTGTTGGTCGACAAAGAGAAAGAAGAGAAAGAAGGTGAAGAAGAACCTGAACATGTTAAAGCTGTGAAGAACCAGTCGAAGCCTTAGATCAAGGTATGTCCTCCTTCGTTCTTCTTCTTTGCTTCGTTTTTCTTCTTCTTTCATCACTTCGAAGGTCGTCTCTCTCTGTGCGCGCTTTTCGCTCTCTCTATCATAGATCGTCTCTCTCTGTCTCCCGTAGATTGCCTCTATCTGTCTCTCGCAAATCGTCTCTCTCTCGCAGGTCCTCTCTCTCTCTCTCATTGATCGTCTCCCTTTGCTTTTCATCTCTCCCTCTCTCTCCCGCTTTTTATTTATTTATTTCTTTTTCTTCTCAAATTGAAAATACTTTTTTTTATAACCAAAAGCCTACTTTTTTTATTTACACCTAAGACCCTCTTTTTATTTTTATTTTTTTTTTCAATTTTAGACATATAATAAATAAATAAAATTATATATATTAAGCATGTCCCCAGCGTGTCGTGTCCCCCATTTTTTGAAAATTTGCGTGTCTACGTGTCCGTGTCATGTCCCGTGTCCATGTCCATACTTCATAGATTTAGAAATTATCTGATACTCTCCTAAAAAGATAATATTATCTTCGTCTTTGCCATCGGAATCCATGCACTTCAAAGTCCCTATTTCAAGATAGGGAGTATCATTCCAAAAGATAATCCGTGGTAGCCTGGGGATTCTTATGTCACACTCCGATTAGCAGAATGTTGTTATCATCCAACATGTGACATCACATTATGTCATCATATGCGGTTATATCATCAAAATGATCATAACATGCAAAGATAAACATACAGAGTAGACAATTTGCTCATAACGTAGCTAAAAACAAAAAATACAAATAAGATATTATTGATACTGATACAATGACCTATGCATGTAGGATTCGCTAATTCTTAAACTACATCCTTCATAACATAATGAAAGGGTTTACTACAACAATACATAGCCAATAGACTCCATACTTGGATTGGGAGTAAAACAACAACAACAACAACAACAACAAAACTTATAAAAATGTGAATGGGAAGTTCCACCAACCTCTCCAAGACGGCGAAATGCACCATATATACCTCCAAATATTGTGGAGAAAATAGCATACCAAATCTGGATATCCATGAAATAGACCTGCAGTGGTCATTGATTTAGACATCAAGAAAAAAATGAGCTTGGAGAAACCGAGTGGGACAGATCCAGCACCAAAATGGAAATGAACTTACAAGAACAATAGGTGCCCAGATTGCAATCACAACACCAATATTGCTCTTGGCTGCAAACAGCAAATGTTAACACTAAAAACCATCTCTTGTTATGAAGAAACATATATATTTCTACACATGTATACAATAATGCAAAGAAATGAAATTCACTCATTTGTTACCTCGAGGGAAGAACTCATGCCATTGGTAAGTTGTTATGTGAATTCGCATAACATCTTTTGTAGGACGCACAAGAGAGCTTATCTGAAACAAAGAACACAAATGAGAGAATGCTCTAGTATATGCTAGGAAATAGTACTTGACCTATAATCTCTGTGAGAAGAATGCTCAGAGGGTAAAGTGGGAACACATCTCATGTTTAGCTGGAAAAGCACAAAGTGACTGCTTTAGACTGAAATTGCTGATCTTAGACTTGATAACCTGAGCTTTTACATCACACAGGGAGATGTGACAGTAGACAGATATTTATCTTTAGTATATTTTATTCAAAGTAATTGATTAACATAATCATATTATGTCAATTGCATATTGTTTTCTTTCCTTATCATGCTTCAGGTCTTCTTTTTTATGTATATGAGCAAAAGGTTCAAAATATTGGTTGATAAAGTGTTAAAATTCACCTACTACACACCTACCACTACCACCTACTACACACTCACCTACTTCACCTACTCTCCACCTACTCCTCACCTACTACACACTCACCTATTCTCTTCCCACATCCTCTCTTCTATATATAGGAATCATTGTAATATATCAACTACAATCAATCAATAATACATCAATTTTTACATGGTATCAGAGCCTAAGATTTAGGCCTGTATTTCTTTCTCACCGGCGGGCAGCCGGCCGGCAACTTTGCCTTTGCTGCCCGTTGGAATTTTCTACACACCTTCTGTCTCCCTCCAGCTCTCGTTTAAAAAAAAAAAGAAAAAAGAAAAAAAGAAAAAAGGAGTACCACAGACTCTACGATTTCTTCTACGACTCATCGACCTTGGTCCTCGACGAAGCAGAGAGAATCGGAATCTCAAGAGAAGAGGCTTGTCACAACCTCATATTCGCGACCTGTTTCAATTCATTCGGAGGCATGAAAATCCTTCCCAAACATGCATCAAACGGATCGGAAGAGCCGGAGTCAAACCTCCACACCCAACTCGAGGAGGAGATCCGATCCGCCGTCAGATCCAACCTTTCCGAAACCCATCACAGCAAGTGTTTTGCCAACAAGGGATACTCCCACATATTTGTTCCGCTGCCACTTCCCAGCTTTGACCGAAGCATCGGCTTGCGCAATGTTCCGAGCCATGGCAGTAAGAAGCGCGATCCCGTGCTCGGCGGCTGCGACGGTGTTAGCCGTCGGCGCATTAATCACAAGGCAACCGTGCTCCGTCGCTGCCGCCAGATCCACGTTGTCGATGCCGACGCCGGCGCGTCCGACAACCTTGAGCCTCCCAGCCGACGCCTCGAACACATCGCGATTGACTTTGGTGGCGCTGCGAACGATCAGAGCATCGCAGAGCGAGATCTTAGTGCAGAGCTCTTCGGGACTCAGGTTGTAAGAGCAATCAACGTTGGCCACGTCTGTCAAGTGCTTGGACCTGTAGCTAGATTTTCTTGGACCTTCTGTTCACTAACATCAGGTTCTTCTCTTTGGTATTATCAGTGCTCTTTTCATAAGCCTCAGCATCATCCACAAACAAGCTAGAATCTGAAAGACACAACTCACGACCACTCATGCGGTCATTCTTATCCATCACCTTTTGCACACACACCCATATTTTTTTATTTTTTTTTATTTTTAAACAAATCTTCACCTTTATTTTCATTATTATAAAGCTTAGTTGGTCTAAACTTCACACCCATCCACCGTCCAAACTTTCTTTTTTATTTTAAAGCTTAATTGGTGCTCTCCCTGTTCCCCACTCCCTCCTTTATTATTTTTTTTTATTCATCATTATATATTCATTATCACTATGCTTATCATTTCATCACCATCACCATATTTTTTTTATTCGATTCCCTTACTTTTCCAAAAAAAAAAAAAAAAAAAAAAAAAAAAAAAACCAAAAAAAACACAACAACAAAAAACACAACTACCACACACCGACATCCCTTCTCTACTCTGCCGCCGGTCTCTTCTTTTTGCCTCCGTCATGGGCGGTCCTTGACGGTACTGCCTCTGTGCTTCCTAATCCACCAAGCAAGTTTCCTCCTCCCTGCTCCTCCACTACAGCATATGGTGGACCTCCAAATCGGAACATAACGGTGGCTTTCCGCTTCAGCTCCTTGTTTTCCGCCTTTAGCACACTTATCTCTGCTCGCGCATCCTTATACATGCGTTGGAGCAGAGCCAGTTGGGCGTTTAACTGCTGCACCTCATTTGTCCTACTCTGCAGCCGGTGCGACAAGTTTGTGACCGCAGTCATAGTTTCAACACAGGACTTCAATGTATACTGATTAGCTTCAATATCCGTTTGCACTGCCATTTTTTGCTCCACCGACCGCATCGGAAAGTTCAACGGAGCAAAACCAGAGGTGTTTGGTTGAGGTTCACAGGCCACCGCACCAGTTATCTCTCTTGTTGACTCGTTGAGGTCGGGAAAGAGAGTGAGCAGACCACGGGAAGAAGAGGCTATGTTCTGGGTAGCTGAACGGGAAGAAGAACCCATGTTTTTGGGTTGCTGAGTGTTTCAGAGAAGGGTTGGTTACAGAATGTTTAAGAGAACGAAGAGGTTTCAACTGGTTGGTTATGCTTCCAAGCCATGATTTGATCGAGTGGCTATCTGTTAAAATCCACCTACTCTCCACCTACCTCACCCACTTAAACCTACTCCACTAAACCTAACCCACTACACCACTACCACCTCACCTACTCCACTAAACCTAACCCACTACACCACTACCACCTCACCTACTCCACTAAACCTAACCCACTACACCACTACCACCTCACCTACTCCACTAAACCTAACCCACTACACCACTACCACCTCACCTACTCCACTAAACCTAACCCACTACACCACTACCACCTCACCTACTCCACTAAACCTAACCCACTACACCACTACCACCTCACCTACTCCACTAAACCTAACCCACTACACCACTACCACCTCACCTACTCCACTAAACCTAACCCACTACACCACTACCACCTCACCTACTCCACTAAACCTAACCCACTACACCACTACCACCTCACCTACTCCACTAAACCTAACCCACTACACCACTACCACCTCACCTACTCCACTAAACCTAACCCACTACACCACTACCACCTCACCTACTCCACTAAACCTAACCCACTACACCACTACCACCTCACCTACTCCACTAAACCTAACCCACTACACCACTACCACCTCACCTACTCCACTAAACCTAACCCACTACACCACTACCACCTCACCTACTCCACTAAACCTAACCCACTACACCACTACCATCTCCTCTTTTATTTTTATGTATTAATGAGTCAATCTAATCTCTCCAAACTCAAGTTGGTTAGTTCCTATCCCCCTTGAGTTTGCGGGGGGCTGTTAAAATTCACCTACTACACACCTACCACTACCACCTACTACACACTCACCTACTTCACCTACTCTCCACCTACTCCTCACCTACTACACACTCACCTATTCTCTTCCCACATCCTCTCTTCTATATATAGGAATCATTGTAATATATCAATCAATAATACATCAATTTTTACATAAAGGAATTAGGAAAATTATAGATTATAGTTGTGAGCCTGAAAAATTAGAAATTTTAATACAACTCAGGCTGAAACGAAACAAAGATTTCCCTCTTACTAGAATCAAAACTCATAGTAGTAAAAGATGAATGAGAGAAACACCTCTACATAGTAACTGAATGCTAACTTCGCCACTATGAGGAGAACCCAAAACATAGTATACCTGAAAGTTGAAACAGATATAGCTAATCAGTTACAACAGGAAATATCTGATTCCTGCCATGCCCACCTGACAATCCAACACTGTATTCTTACTTGAAAAGAGAAAATGCGCTCTCATGCATTCCCCTTCCAACATATAGCCGAGGCTGCAAAACATCACAGGATATCAGAAAGATCGCAACAGAATACAAAACAGAACGTAATATTTATAAGGGGAAAACTCACTTTAACCCCTTGTACTTCACCCTGAAAACACATATGCCCCTAATTATAAACTAAAAGTTTGAGAGGGAGTATGTATTTTCAGAGAAAAAAGTTAAAGGATATAAAGTCAATTTTCCCCTAATTATAAACTAAAAGGTTTAGTATCAACGAACACATGCAAAAAAGATACATAAATATATACACATTTAAATTAGGGACTAATATAAAAAAATATCGAGATGTTCCTGCATACCTGAGACCACCACATAATGAGCATAACAATCTTATAGTTCGACCTTTCCAGGTGCCGGCGAATGAATGGAAACAGAAACAACAATGCAGATAGCATATTTGGAGATAGGTAAACTAGAACTGCCACAATGAACAATGAAGGTGAACTTGGACTATTGCCGAACCAATTCCTAATGGTCTGTGCAAATCCAGTAGGATTTTGCCAACTATACGCGTAAGTCACCGGTAAAACTATCACCCAAGCTGCAGCAGAAACAGCCTTCAAAATGTATCGTAGCTTGACATGCAACGACATGCTGCGCCTGGCTTTAAAGCTCATAATTATATCAAGGATAGCTGCAAATATGAAGATTCCAGTAAGCAATTCACAATTTTCACCAAGTACATACTTGTTATATTATTGTTGAATACTGAGGAATATTATGGAGAAGATAACACTCTAGTTTTTCCTTACATCAAGCTAAGCCTTCACCTTCTTTTAACTAAAGGTATAGAATTGGCTACTAACGAGTCAAAAAGAGCATGCCATGACAATCCTTAGGTTTTTTCCCACGAGGTTAGGTTACATCAGACATCAAACAATCTTAAATTCTCATATAACTCAACCTATTGAATTGAAAGAATACATAGACATTTACAGGCTGCTGGACTTTTCTTACTACTATCTTGGGAATTAAAACAATAAATTTGGATCAGTTAGACCACTAAGACTCTTCTAAATGCATTAGAAACCACATATATATACCCACACACAAAGCTTGATACCAATACTGCAGGCCTTGTCCAGTAAATATTTATAGGAACAAAAATAAGTAACCTATAAAGAAACATAAATAAGACTAATGCAGCCAAGTCGATGCAAGATTGACATGATAATTGTCAATTGAGACACTAGAATTATATTAGAAGTCTTTTCAAATTATTTTGTTGTATTTGCTTATTTTAGACGTTATTAGCGTTTTTGGGATGAATCTTGGGACTTAGGAAAGATGTTACCATATTTGATAGGGGTATTCTTGTATGGTAATTACATGTTTTTAAGGTCTAGTTTGGCCTACAAAATGGTCTCTTAGAGAAAAAATAAATTAAGTGTTGAAGATGAATAAAAATTAGGGCCTTGTTTGGTTTGTTTTTCAGAAAAAATTTTGGGAAAAATTTTCTACAAACAAATTTTCAAGAGTAATCAAACCAAACAAATTTTTTCAAAAAAAATCTCAAAATTTTGTTTGGTTACCTACTTTCCAAAATCACTCTCTCTCATCCACATCAAATCAATCACTTTTTTTAAAACTCTCTCCCCAAAATAATTTTCTAAAACTATTTCTGAAAAAAAACAAACCAAACAAGTTTTCGTACTTTTTATCTAAAAAACTACTCTACACATACAAACCAAACACACCCTAAATATTTGAAAGAGATTCTCTCTATATACATGTTCTCTCTACTTTCCCTTTCTTCCATCTCTTCTATTCCCATGTCAGAAAACAAATCAACATTCACTTTCTTTGGTTAGAGTTTTCAAAAAATTCTATTTTCTTGTTTTCCGTGTTTTTTTTGTTTTTACTAAATTTTTTTAATATTTTAAGTAATTTTTTTAATTTTTAGACATACCTAACATAAATACACCTAAAAAGTAAAAAAATTGTGAAAAAAACCTTTTAAAAATTTACTAAATACCAAAAATACAAAAAAAAAATACGAGAATTCAATACATTTTTTGTATTTTTATGTATTTATTAATTTTTTTTAGAATATTTTTTCACAAATTTTTTACTTTTTAGATACATGTAAGTAAGATGCATCTAAAAAAGTAAAAAAAAAAAATGTTTAAAATTTTAAAAATATTCACTAAAAACAAAAAAAAAAACACGAAAACCAAAAAACTCAGTTTTCAAAAAATTTTATCCAAAAGACTCAAACCAAACACACTTTTTTCCCATCACATGTTTAATGAAATTTTAAAGAAGTTTGGACTTACATCAGTTGGGTAACCTTGTTGTTGGGGAAAACGGAACCTCAAGTTCAATATTCTTCAAGTTTGAAAAGATTTGGTATCATCTTTTTGTCTCCAATGAATCCTTTGCTTTGATACCAAAATGATGTGGGTTGGACATTTTAAGAGATGGAATAGAAGATGAAAGAATGAAAAGCAAGAATATAGGAAAGGAAAGAGAACACGGAGATAAAATATGGATAGAGAGAGAGAGAGAGAGAGAGAGGGAGTTCAATACTTTGTTAATGAATAATAAGAAGAAAAAAAAATCCAATTTTAATTATCATTAATGTATAATTATTATTTTTGTAAAACTCAATAGACAATCACATTTAGATTGAGAAATAGAATGCTAACATTATTAGTAAAATATTTATTGAACTAAAAAAAGATATTAATCAATACACGTACTATAACACTTCACGTCTAAACCCGACCCATTTGCCCTTATTTGATTGGTTTCGGGTACAGTTATGTGACCTTGGTATCCGAATCATTTGTTTGTATCGTCATTGTAGTCATTGCTAATGTTGTTAATGCGATAGAATTGTTTCAAGATTTGAGAAAGTATTTTTGGGGTTTGTTATTGTGAATTTGAGAGTAGAAATGTGATTTTTTGGATTGTCGATCGATTGCTTCGTTTGTATTGATTTTGTGCGTCTTCCAATAGCTAGCGATCATTGTGGGATCTTAAAGCAATCGGTCACTCATCAATTGCTTCACCTAGTTAGAATTTGAATTTCCATCCAGTGCTTAACTATCACTCTAAAATGCAATCAATCACTTTGATGCAGATATTTCATTAATACACGTTTTCTCCCTCTTTTGTCTCGCGTTTTCTCTCTTCTTCTCTTTTCTCTCCACTTTCTCCCTCTGCCATTAATACACCATAAAAGCTTCAATCTACCCTAGCTAAAGTGAGAGTTGATCGTCAACATTGTAGAGCACAACGAGGGCTTCGCATTCATCAAAACCAATTTCCATTTCATCCACCTTCAAATTCTGGGGTTTCTCTCTCCACTATTTGAGGTAGGGATTTCTTTGATCTACTCAATATGAGTTTATATTTGAATGTGTGGTATATTTATTTATACTAAATTCAGAAATATGTAGAGATTTTTGGAAATTTGCATTGTAGAGATTTAGGGCTTAAAAATATTGGTAATTTCTCTATATTTTTCTTATCAAATGTATTTTATCGGTGTTTTATAACATGAGAATGCTTTAATTTGAGAAATCCCAATTTCTTTGAAACCCTAATTTGAGAAATTATTTTATTGTTGAAAATGTCGTCTCTACTCTCGAAATTGAAATGAGATATCTTAATTTATGAGTTATTGCATATGCTAGAGATTGTAAATTGTTGACAATTGGTGGAGAATTGCATTGTCGTAGAAATCACTAACCTGGGGTGAACTGAAACTCATTATGATAATTTGAATTGTTGAATTCTTGAAATGAATAATCCGTTGATGAACGGTGGTGTTGTTAACCACATTTTGGATGATTGAAATTTGCATCAGATGCATTACTATTTGAAAACCCCTTGTTTTAAATTGACCGGTAAATGGTCAATATGGGAAATGTATAGAAATGAGATTAAGTTGGCAAGAGGGTCCATTGTGAAAGATCGGAAACCTGTGCAAATGGATACCAATTCCCTTCTGGTTAACAACCGGTAAAGTAGGGGTATAGGTGATGCTTAGCGATGACTATTAGCAGATACATTGACCTACAGATTCACCTGGATATAACTAGATAAATCATTGATTTGAGAATATTTATCAAACATTGTGATTAGACCATAAGATTTGAAAAGGAATGTTATGATTGACAGAAAATGGGATTTGAACATTGTATACATATGTTATAGTATCATGATCATATACATGTGTAGATTGATATTAGTATATGTAAAGATTTCTCTACTGGATTATATGTTCATCCCATGCTAAAACTTTTCAAATATTGACAATGTGCCACGATTTTGAGTTGGCATAGAACTTATGCATGAGCTAGAGAGAGCTCTATTGATTGTTGGCCTAGGGCCTTTATTTTGAAGGTTGAGTGACGTTATTTTTGCAAGGGTTGTACCCTTTTTGAGAGTGATGTAAGCCTGTGAGCATTTCTTTTGAATTGAATGATTATTCCATTTTGATTGGCATACTTGTATTCATGTCAGCTAGTCAATGAATATAGGATGTAAGGACTATAGATCATGTACTTGACCAGTCTATATATATATATATATATGGAGGGAGGTTTGTTGTAATTATTCTGTCTTTTTATTATATTTGTGGTTTGATTGTCGTGGAGTCGGATCTTGGAAATTCGAGGCGTGACACATACATCAAACACTGAAGTAGTTATAGGTAGCAATAGGAGGGCAAAACTGTCATTTGACTTTGAGGACGAAAATAAAGGACCATGTTCCACTCACTCTTTCTATATAGTAGTATGGATGTGGATGTGGATGTGGATGTGGATGTGGATGTGGATGTGGATGTGGATGTGGATGTGCTGGAAGCAAAAAATATTGATCAATATTAATATTAATCAATACATATACATCAAACACAGAAGTGATATGAGGAGCAAAGGGAGGGTAAAACCGTCATTCAAATTTGAGAACAAACATAAAGGAACGTTTTGCTCCAGTTGTTGAAGATTCATGGAATGTTTTTCATTGAGAAAAGTATAGTGGCTAATGGATGGAAATTAGATTATCTGTTTAATTGGTTATGAATGATCATTTTGATATATGAAAATGGAGGGCAAAAAGTGTCATTACACTTTTTGAGGACCATTTATGCACTCAAGCTTTACATATGGATATGGATAGAATTGGCCACCCAAATCTTGTTCTTCATGTCCTCCAGATGCAATCAAACATGTGCTAAATAAAGTAAAATTTAAATGAATTAAGGAAAAAGATCCCAGCTCTATTCTGAAAGAATAATACTGTCAACAACTTCTAGCAAAAAATGTGTGAAATAAAAAAGGATAATGAACAATTGTATAAAGTAGGAAAACCCAAATGAGTACAGTATTGAAACTAAGAGTTTGGGGGAGAAAGAGGGTGAGGGAGAGATAAAGGAAAGGCATCAGAATATAAACAATAAGCTAATTAAGAGAAATTCACCTTGTGCAAGTTTCAATATCGCAGCAGTGATAAAGATGCTCAATACTTGCTTGAATACATCACCCTCAAATACAGAACTTAGTTTCCCCGATCCATTCCAAGCAATGATAATCATTGCCTTAAATGTTGTCCACGTTAACATGATATAATAAGGTTAACAAGACATATGACTAGCAAAACCAATAGTAAATATAAAAACGACACAAAAAAAAAATAGAATACCTGTAGACACAAGATAAAAAAGCTCCACATTCTATCGAAACTCCTAAAAATATGCCAAAATGTGCATATCTCAACAAAATTAATTTTTCCTGTCCATCGATCCCCAGCAGCTTGTTTGTTCTCCTGAATATCATCAACAATCTACTATCAGAAGGCAATATTTCATATCACAGAGAGAGAGAGAGAGAGAGGATGTAAAAACAACCAACTCTACTTGTGTAGGTCCAATAATAAGAAGTGCTGAATTCTTTATAAGAAAAGATTTAAATCAAGTCATTGAAACAGTATGCATGTTGAAAACAATGTTCATCAAGCTTCCTCCAAAATAAGGCCAAGTGCATATCAGTTACAAGTCAGATCTGGTTGTTCATTTTATCTTGAATAGAAGACCAACATTCCAAGAATAGCTTTAGGAAACAAGATGAACTACAATTCAAAAAGCTTATTATCCTCTTAAAATTTACATCAGAACTAATGCAATTCTCTAGCATAACATTAAATTAAGACCCAAAAAATAATAATAATAATAATAATCATAATAATAACAACAACAACAAAAAAAGGAAAGAAAAAAAAACAAATAGAGGGAGAGAGAGAGAGAGAGAGAGAGAGAGAGAGAGAGACAACGAGAACACTGAAGTCTATTGTTCTTGCAACCGGGCAAAAAACGAAGAGAGAGAGAGAGACAACGAGAACACTGAAGTCTCTTGTTCTTGCAACCGGGCAAATATTGGCATGCAGTCCATAGTTGACGTCACAAAAACAACAGACTACCAGAATGAAGTCCACGGATGATTCAGGCATTCCATTGTTGGTCATAGATTTTGTGTGCTGATTTAAGCTCATTCTAGATGACTAAAGCCAATGTGCTATAGGAATTCTAGATCCAGTGATTATGGGAGCTGAATAATTTAATCTCCATAGTTTGGCATGTCCAGGAAAAGCCAAAAAGTCAAAAAGTTACTCAAAAAGTTAAAAAGTTAACACTATTCACCAAAAGTCAACAATTACGGCTGCACAACTCCCAATCTTAATTTTCTCCTACAAACCAATTTTTACAATTTTTTATTATACATTTTTTCATAAAAAGTCAAAAAGTTAACCCAAACATCTATATTTTCTTCCTCAATTTTTTAGTCCAAAAAGACAAAAAGTGCACTTATTTAGGACACCCCAAACAACCCCTTAATTTTGCAAATCTTCTCTATTGTGCTTACGATTATAATGCACTTTTGGGCTAGACTCGGTTTCTTGACAAGCTGTTGTCCTGGAAGAGCTCCAAGGGTAATCTTTCTATTTGTGATTGAGAAACTATCATCCTCCTGACGAATTCCTCCCCACATTTCCCATTTAACAATATTGGAACTTCTTTACAAGTTTCAGTGAATAACACTTCCAGCACTAATGTTGCCGTGTCAAAGACGTGGAAGTCTTGAGATTTATTTTGTGCATCCTTGTTACAACAATTTCTTTTCCAATTAAAGTTCGTTTTTGTTTCAAAACAATTGGCTGCATTTCGAACTTCTTGTAAGGTGAGATGCATAACTGTTCTGAGTGGAAAAGGAAATGGGAAAGTGATTCAAACCAGATCCAAATGTAAAAGTATGATCCGTTGGCAAACTTTGAGCTCGATGGGACATCAGCCACCAAAAGATCGGGTAGATTTTAAAATTACAACTGTGTTTCTACAAATGAACCAAAAACTGATATGCATCCAACACCCGTACCCAATTTAATCATTTGGATCTTCTAATTTTTTTACAATGTTCGAAGGGAAAAAAAAACTTAAAATTTTCCAGTAACGAAACATTCTAGTCTTTTACACGGATGGAGATAGAAATTTCATAGTTTTTTTAAATCTTATTTAATTTCAAGTACATTTCTAACAATTTACAACATATCTAAATATATTATACAATATGCAATATATATGATGAACCAAATTTAGGAATTAGATTCATTAGAGACAAATATATCCAGAAGGATACAAAGAGCACTAGCTCTAATTTTACAATATCGAATGTCATCAAAACTAAATTCCTAAAATGCTAACCACCGACTTATAGGCCAAGGCCAACTAAGCAACCTAAACACAACAACCACACCAACTCTTATTACATCAAACTCCCCCTCTAAAGAAAATAAACTTGTCCTCAGGTTGGGGACATCAACAAAAAAATGACGCAAAACAACAACAAATGGAAGCACAATGGACATGCAACGGCAAATAAGACGAAGTGGTTGCAAGTCCTTATTCAAAATCACCCTAACAAATATCCCCCCTTGAAAATGAGTTCTCATTTATGCACATCAACTGAAACCATAAGGAGGTGTGAATAGGCCACCCACATAGCATGTTGTTTGTGAAACATTTGAACAAAATGAAGCTCCACACAACACTCAAGACTTTCCAAAATAAAGTCCGTATGCGATAGTACACCAAGCATCAACTCAAAACAAAGTTGCACATCTTGTGCAAGAGGTTCCTCAAGAGACAAGTTTGGAGAGCAAAGAACAAACACCCTTGATACCTCCACTTCCCACTCTTCTGACTCTTCAACAACTTGTTAAACTTCAAAATCAATCCCACACTCCTTGGAAAACAAAGCCAATGCATGGCCAAGCTCATGAATCCCCTTCACAACTTCATTTGAAGAAAATGAGTAAACAATTGAGTTGCAACCATTTCTTCAATGAAGCCTGCCTCATCGCCAATGCCATTCCCATCTTTTAAAAGATCATCACTGTCATAATGATCAAAAATTGGAACATCTTCGTATTCGTAAACATCAACTTCATCACGATCCAATTCCTCTTCATAACCACAAGCATCAACGTCAACACAATGCGGTTCTTCAATTCATCAAAGATGGAAACATCTTGGTCATAACCTTAGTCCACATTCTTTGTCAAAAATAGGAACATCTTGACCCCAATTTTGTTCTTGATCACAATTTTGGTCCATATCCTCTTCACCAAAGATGGAAACTTCACCATCACCATGTCTTTGTTCTACTGCCTCTTCACTAAAGAGCACATTATCCTGTTATCCATCGTCAAAAGGTTTAATTTTTCCAACACAAATCAAATAATCATATTGGACATATTTATTGGATGGCTGTCCAAGGTCAAAGACAGATATCAATGTTCAGAACTTGAAATGTTGCTTCTCAACCAACGAAGGTTGCGTGCAAGTAATTGGTAGGTAAGCAGTGCTCTTTAAGCTTCCATTTTTATTGCTACCCAATATCTAATCTTTCCTTTGCCTCTTCTTTGTCTACATTCTTGCAATTGTTTCCACAATTGTCAAAGGCCTTGAAGGCTTTGAAACACCAACTTCCCTTGCTTCCTCCTGGCACATCATGGTACTCCAAAAACTCTCAATAGTGTTCAACATTCCACAAACACATCCGGAATATAGCTCATGCATTCAAACCTTCACCTACCCATAATTATTCTACTTGCCCGTGTTTGGCTAGTTTATGAGCATGGTCACACATGAGGGTCGTGTCCATGCAAGAGGGGATTGCATGAAAGAATGTGAGTGCATGATATATTTTGGCCTATTCCCTGACAACTGAAACGTTCAGGTGAAGTGAATGTCAAATACCATTAAGGAACGATCAGGTTGTGAGATGATTTATCGCCTTAACGGGCTGCTTGTCATCCAGTTACTCTGATCTAAAGGGTTGTACTTACAAGGATCTAAACCAAGATTTTAAATATTTTTCTTATTTTACAGAAAATGGTTCTGTTACGAGTAGACTAGAGTTTTCATCATAAAAGAGCTATTTCTTGCAAGGTAGACCTGTTAGCATATTATATTAGCCGAAAGTGTTAGCATATTATATTAGCCGAAAGTCAGTAGGGTCTGTAATCATTTTATGCCCTCAGGGATCATCTTGTAATTGTTTTCTTTGTAAACCCTAATTTTCATTTATAAATAAGGGGTGATCTTCTATCAACCCCTAAGCTGGTTACCCAAGCTTCATGGTATCAGAGCTACACCTCTAGGGTTAGGGTTCAAAACGTACCTAGTTGGATCATCTGCTGGGTCGATCGTCAGTCACTGTTGTCACGCCGCTTCATCTTCATCAACCAGTTGGATCATCTGCTTCGTCTTCGTTCTTCTCCTCTGCTCGTCGATCTCCTCAGCTCCTCAGCTCGTCGTCGTCTTCTCCTCAGCTCGTCGATCTCCTCCAAACGTTCGTCACTCGTCTTCCTCGCCCTCATCGTCCTCAGCACTCGTCGTCCTCAACTTCGTCACTCGTCGTCCTCACTGTGGTATGATCTCAGACCTAGTGTATATATAAATATATATATATACTAATATATATATAAAACTAGCCTCATATATATATATATATTTATATATAAATCCATGTAGATATCTTGATATATACATAAATAAATCAAAAAAAAACAAAAAAAAAAACAAAAAAACAAAAAAAACAAAAAACAAAAACAAAACAAAAAAACAAAAAACAAAAAACAAAAAAAAACAAAAAAAAAAATGGTTTCTTAAATTTAGTTATATCTTTATAGTGGTCATTGTGCCTGTTATATCACTACCACCTTCCAGGTTTGTGATTGCTATTAGTTTTGTTGCGGGTTCGGTAGTATTGTATCCATGACAGATTCCACCAGTGTGTCCCCTTCTTCTCAAACACCAAAGAGTGAAAGTCCCATTCTACCTACTACCATGACTGAGAACCCCAACCCTAGTCTGAAAATCACCACCTCTCTATTTAATGGTCAAAACTACCTAGCATGGTCTCAAAGTTTGACTATGTTTTTGAAGAGCAGAGGGAAGATGGGATATGTTGATGGCAGGATACAGGCACCTAGTACCACTGACTCAGGTTATGACCAATGGGAGATTACCAACTCTTTGATTATGAGTTGGCTTATCCATTTTGGTATCAGAGCATGGCGGTCAATGACCGTTTTCTTGAGTTGATCGTGCGCAACTTAAGACTGTGAAGCTTGTGGATTAGAGACCACACTTACTTGGTGAAAGTGCAGGAGGATCACACCAAGTCACGATGGTAGATCTTGTGAACACAACGAGTGGAGTCACAAGACTCAACAACAACAACTACCAGAGTTGGCAGAGTC